GTGATGTTTTAGGGCCGCGGGCTGCTATGTGGGGTGCCGCCAGGCTCATTCAACAGCATCATGCAAAACGTAATGGGCTATGCTCCAACAGAAACTAGCTAATCATGCAACTTTCTAGTATCCCACCTACTCATCGGCTGTCAAACCTCTACATTATTTATAGGCAACTCTAAAATGTATAATATATCTAACTATCTAGCACCACTGGCGGCATTGGTTTGACGGCAGGTCCTTCCCCCAAGGGGCAAAATTGGCTCTGAACGAGGTTAGGAATTCTCTGAATGGGGGACGTGACGCAGGTCGCATCGGCCGAGGACCAGGACTTTCCAACAGAACTGAGACTTTGCGGCGAGGGCGTGTGCACAGTCGCGCCAGTCGTCAAGAACAAAACGAGCGACGCCATCGCCGTCGGGCCCGTCAACGCCACCTTGGCGGCCCTGGACACCGTCGGGGGCTACCCTGCCGTCATTGCTCTGTGCGGACGGGGGAGGTGCGTCACTGTGCCACTTACAGTGGAGGACATGACCGAGGATGTCACCCCTGGGGCTGCGCGCCCCGGGGACTGGCCGAACTTCATCGGCCTGTGCGGGCAGGGCGAGTGCATGACCATACCCGTCAACAAGGGCGAGGATGGCGTGGGCATCTCCGTGGGGCCTGTGCCCGCCAACACGCTCGGCGGTACGGGGGATTACCCAGAGGTCGTGGGGCTGTGCGGCCGCGGTGTCTGTTCCTCACTGCCAGTCATTTCATCCCCATAATATCATGCATGCGTGACGTCCCAGTTCGGGGACATGAACATCCTCCCATGGGGCGCATCCCCAACTCTGTGCAGACCCACGCGTCCCTCCAAGCCGGCGTGGAAAGGGCGGTGGCGTCGAGCCTGCAGCCGCAATCAGAGCCAGAGCTTCAGGTGAAGAGATTCTTTTGGATGATTTTTCAGCGCCCCGGAAGCATGCGATCGTTTGAGCGAGGCAAACAGGACAGCAGAACAGTGCGTCGACTTATAACGTGCGAGTGAGCGCGCACGCAAAAGATATAGGATTCAGATCTGTTTAGAGCTCTCTCGAACTTGCGATCTGTGAAGAAAATTGACAGTTTCTGTGCATTTGCTCATTAGCGGTCCGGTGTTGGGCCACCATGTGATATGACTCAGTTTGCCTCCTGGTTCCCGAGGCGCAGATTTTCAGATGGCCGCACGGGAACACGGACTCGTCGCTTTGGTGCCAATGTAGTAATGCGAAGCGCAGCGGTGCCTAAGAGCAGGCAACTTAAATTTGTCGTTAATCGGGACATTAGCAGAGTACCGAAACAAGGGGGGACAGGGGCTGGCATGTACACCAACACATACTTCGGTATACTCTACACCAGGTGGAGTTGCACCGCAACAGCCCTGCTCAACGAATATTCGCAAGTGAACGAAACCCGAAGCAAAACACATTTAAATGTATTTTAAATGACAAAGTTGTCTTGACGTCCAAGATTGAATTGCATGCGGCCAAGTGTGCTTCAATCGCTGTGTTTCGCCAACAAGAATCGCCAGTAAGTGCAAAAAGGAACACAGTGACAAGATGTGAGATGGCGCATTCATACAACGTACGTTACGAAAAATAAGGTCTACAAATGTTTCAGAAGTCCATTGAAAGATAGCAAACACACTGCGCTTGTTTGCATATGCGCGGCCTCGGTCGGCGTCAACATGGGTTAATGAAAATGATTGTCGTTAAAGTGCGGAACTTTCATCATTAAGATAACTGCCGTAGAAGGCTTTTAGCTAACACTGTAGTATGTAACGAACAATAAGTTGTTCATGACAATACTGCTGATCAGCAGCTGGGGTGACGGATAATCAACTTCTTGTGCCATGAAAAGAAGAATAAAAATTTCAGGACAACTTTGTTCTTGCAAACATCAACCTGACGGCCTCGGACGGCTTGCCAGAGCTTGCGTGCAGGCTGCTGCCCCGGTGTGGCTCCATGCTCATTGGGCGCTGCTCTGTGAGGACCAGTTTCAGCCTTTTCGTTCATAGACTGAAATGGCAGGCTACGCAGACTGCGTTTCAGCTGCTGAACACGGCCCATCATCCTTTTAAAAGAATGAGGGATAATTATTGCAAAATTGTCATCATTCTGGCTCATTTTCATCGCTGGGCTCATAGACTGAAATGGCAGGCTACGCAGACTGCGTTTCAGCTGCTGAACACGGCCCATCATCCTTTTAAAAGAATGAGGGATAATTATTGCAAAATTGTCATCATTCTGGCTCATTTTCATCGCTGGGCTGGAAGGAAAGGAGATCAGTGATATTTTGTGGTGAATACTGCGGTAATCCTCTGGGGGAATGATCTCCCTGTCCGAAGGTTCAGCTTATGTGGGAATTCAATCAGCTTATGCAAAATGGATGCAAACCTAAAAGAAGGCAAAAACAAGACCTGGTTTGGCTCAGTACCTCCCTGGAGCGCTCGGGGTGCTCGGCGCTGATTTGTAAATTCAAACATATTGGACGCAGTAACGAGCTATGGACCATTGAGAGAGTTCACCGAACGCCGCTTCTCAAAGCACACCTGAACAACACATGCGGAGGACATAAAAGTCGTTGCCCAAGCTCATGCTGAACTGCTTGCGCTTACCTCCTCCCTTCAAGAAACAGATACCAGCGCGCTTTGGGGCTGTTAGAAATCAAGACTCTACCGTGAAGGTGTCCAGGCAACGTGGGATCCCATAAGATATGTTGAAATGTAGCTGCTCATGGGTGGCACGTGATCGTCGAGTTTCTGAAGCAGAAAAGCGTACCAGTATACATCATGTGTATATTTATGGTATGTATCATGTGGATATTGGTGGTCATGGCCCACCAGCAAACAGGCCGGCGCAGGCATGCCGCGCAACTGCATTGCTGCAATGCCCAGATGTCTGGCCACAGTTCCCCCCTTCTCAAGCTGACGGCTTGTACACTGATTTAAACGTCGCCTGCACAGCGCTAGCAAGTTTTGATGAAGCAAAAGGAGTTAGAAACACGGTGTCGTGTATTTTAGAGATTTACGCAAATTTTACACGACTTTCAGTAGATCGACAATATCAACACGGAGTTACATCGTTCGAAATGGCCAGCGCCAGGCATATTCTTTGTGCGTGAAGCTATTCCACAGCTGGCTGTTTTGTGGCTTTCGTGCACCGTGCCCTCATGGTGCCTCATTCTAGGGAGCGTCCGTTTTCGGTGCCGTTTTCTCTCACACCATTTCATGCAAAATGCCTGTATGGTGGTCGCGGCAAGTAACAGAATTGTGTCTTTGCGCGCAAGAAAATCTTCCGATCAGAGCGATTCGGCACTGTTTGCGCACAAAGGGTTTTTTTGGGCGGTCTGGCGGAATTGTACAACCGAGTTGTTGCGCCCAAAGGGAACCCTTTTGTCCAATGAATGCGCGCGTGGCGTGTGCATTCGCGGGACGAGGATCTGGTGGGAAATCACCCAGCGCACATGGATCTTCTTTGGTCCAAACGCGGCGGAACAGTGGCAGTGGGCAATGGTTTTCATTAGCAGAGGGCGAGGATAAATGCGTGCACTGCCCGCGCATTTGCAGGACGAGGAGCTGGTGCGAAATCACCCACAGCGGGGAGCGTGGGTTTTCTTTGGTGGAAACGTGGCGGAACAGTTGCAATGGACAATAGCTTTCACTAGCTGAGGGCAATGATAAATGCATGCGCTGCGTGCGCATGTATTCTCGCACACATGGCCCTGTTTAGCACAATTTCTGTGCCCCGGGAACAACCTCCCTGCGCACAATTGTTTCTGGACATTTGTCGTCAAAACGTGGTCTTGAGCACAATGCGCCGCTTTTGCCGTCATAGGCATTTTGCGTGCAAGGCTGTTCTGTATGCACTGCTTCATTTTTCCTCGTTTGCGGTGGCGCGGTCTGCCCATCCGCAACAGCGAACCGTCCCGTCTGGCCGCAGCCGATGCCCACGGTGTGGACCCTGGGGTCCCATGCGCCCTACTAATCCTTGGATTTAGCTTGGGTCCTCCCAAGATGGACAAGTGGCAGCATGACAGCTGGAGGCACCCAGTACTCTGGCCTGTTCCCCCGGCCACCCGTGATGCCTTTGCCTGCGGCGGTGCCCGGCCGCAGGCACCCAACGCCCGCACGCAGGCCCTTCCGCCGCTGGACCGCCCGCCTCCCCCCCACCCGGCCGCGTGACCAGCGATGGCCGGACGCCAGGGGTCGACGGCCATGATCCCCGGCCAGGGCGCATGCTTGGGAATCCGTGGCCCCCGCAATCAGACTGCGGTTGGTCAGGTGCGGCCGGGGCAATCCTGCTTGGGCCATGCACGGCGGCTGTGCGGCAGGCCGGAGGTGGGTTCGCGGTGCCCGGGCGTGCCGCTGGGAGGCGTGGAGAGTGCGGGCGATGTGAAGACGGGGGGCCAAAAGATTGAGGTCGGCAAGGCGGTAGCGGCGGAGGCGGTGTATTCGGCGCAGTGTTGGTCGTTGAACGGATGTTCGGTGTTCGACGGGCGCTGGCGGTGCGTCGATGCAGGCTTTCGCAGCACTCGGCGGACCAGGATCATCTGCACCATCGGCCCCTCGTCCGACTCTCCGGAGATGTTGGAGCGGCTGGCGAAGAACGGCATGAACGTCGCCCGCCTCAACACGTGCCACGCCACGCTGGAGTGGCACAGGAACGTCATCAGGAACATCAGGAAGCTGAACCGCGAGAAAGGGTGAGATTGTGGGCGGGAAACAGTGTGAGACCGGAATTGGGCATACGGAAATTGACTTATGTTGGCTTTGGAGACGAAATCGTCCCACCCAGTGGTGCCGATTGTCTCCCCCGGGATGCTGAATTCTTGCTGCCAAGATGTTTTGCCGGCGCCAGAACGTCGCCTTTCACCTGAGCTAAAGGCGGTGCAGGGCAACACGAACCGGAGCGTTTGTTGGGCCCCCAACACACTCGTTTCATCTCCCGCCCTGATCTTTCCGCTTGTCCCCCAGGTATTCTGTTGCAGTGATGCTGGACACGGAAGGGTCTGAGGTGCACATTTCAGCCGTGGCAAAGCCAATGAGGGCGGAGGTGCGTGTGCCCACAGCTGGTTCCTTAGTTTCATTGTTTATTGTTGTCATTAAGTTGTGAAAAGCGGGCCACAAAAGGTGTGCTTAATGCTCCAGCTCACATTTGTTCCCAGTTGTACGATAGGTTGATTTCTGCTCGAGCTGCTGGCAGTCCTCCGTGCTAAAGCTTGCATGACCAACACCCAGATTGAAGAAGTGGCCCAGACAGCAGCAGCCCATTGGTTGTTTAGAGTAGCTGCTGCCCTGGTTGGGACAAACGTGGACCTGACAGCCTCTCATGCTAATATAAAATTGAGCTTGATGGGTGGCAACCCAGAATCCATTGGGCACCTTTGATGAGGGTTCTTCCTGTCATTGATAGGAGAGTGTGCCCCAATGAACAGCCATTTTTTCAGTTTCTGATGCGCATGTCGGCACTCACACATGTTCTTTTCTGCTGTCACCTGCAGGAAGGTGACGAGTTTACGTTTACAGTCAGAAAGCCTCCGTATCCTGATGGAGTGTTTGGTGTCAGCTATGACGCATTCATATACGATGTGGAGGTACGTCTTGGTGGTCAGTTTGGCTGATGAACTGAGATGGGGGAATTCGACTGCATCTTGGAATTCCGCAAGTCGGTTGTTCTGGGAGCACCCCTTAGTGTTGTTTTTCTGTGCTAACTTTGGAAACAGGAAAGCCAACATCGTTGAAGTGGGTGCTGGCATCGATTTTTCTTGCCAGAAACTGAGCGCCGTGGCTGCCGGTCACTACTTTCCTATACATTGGCATGATTTCTGGCTTCTGTGCTATGCCATCCTTGGCTCTGCACTATTGCAGCCCAAAAGGGCAAGGCTGTGGACCGTGACCTGGAAGTCTCCAGCTGTAATTCAATATCTCCTCTGCACTGTGATCCAGCTGTCAAGCTATGATTACATTGTTCTGGTGCCAACTGCCAGGTCGGTGATGAGGTGGTTGTCGACGGAGGCATGGTGCGGTTGGAAGTGCAGCAGATAGCTGGGCCTGATGTATTGTGCCGCTGTGTCGATCCTGGCCTGATTCTGTCACGGGCCAATCTCACATTTCGGCGACAAGGCAAACTTGTTCGAGGGCAGAATGCAAGGCTGTCTGTCATCACAGCAAAGGTGTTGTATCTGAGGCCTGATGGGCGGAGCGTTTGTATAATATTAAGTGTTCTGCTGTATTCATCTGGCAATGTGTTCCATGTTCTCTCTGTGTGGATGTGTTCTCTGTCAGGCTGTGAGGGGCCACAATTGTATGTCTGAGTGAGTGAAGTGGAGGTTCAGCCCTTTTCACAATCTTGTATTACAGCAGTGTGTCGCTTGTATTTTTGCATTTTTCAGGGCCATGTTCCAGTTTCTTCTCACCTTGCCTCCCAAACAAGGGTGCTCTGCCTATCTGCCTTTTTTTCACTTAGTCCACTTCACCATTTGGTGTTATGCTTTGCTTTGGTCTGTTATTATTGTGTCTGGTAATTCAGCACTGCTAGCCTCTTGACATGGCCTCATCTTTGCTCTTGCCTCATCTTGCACTTCATGAACATTTTTGTGAGGAGGTGCAATGAGCGGAAAGGGACAGCAGGGGTCTGTGGCAGGGTGTGTTGCCTTTGTTTGGCAAATGGGCATGGTATGGACTTTGATACAGTTTTAACACTGTTTTAACTCAGAACTGCATCCAAGGCAGCATCAGTTTTAACACTGTTTTAACTCAGAACTGCATCCAAGGCAGCATCTGGGAGAAGTGTTCAACACCAATGCCAGTATGTTGGATATCACAGAACAAGGTATTGTGCTTCAATGGCAATTGCCAGCATTGGCAAGCAGTTTCAAGTACACATGCAAGATGATGGTGACTTGTCAGCAGAGTACCTGGTGCAGGTTTCTCACCTGCTGGGGCTGACATAAACCTGCCCATGACAAAACCCAGGATTGGGAGCACATCGACTTTGGTGTTGAAGAAGGTGTGGACTTCATTGCCATTTCGTTTGTGAAGTCTGCTGACGTCATCTCCAACCTGAAGAGTTACATTCAAAGGAGAACGGGGTCCCATTCCATCGAGGTAAATTCCTTCCCCGCAATATGCTTGTGAGGACTGGCCCTGAGTGGCAGTTGGACTGCCATCATGTTTGACTGTTCAGTGGTTTCAATTTTGCTGCCCTCATGATTCTGATATCCTTGGGAAGGAACACGCTGGGTGTGGATTCACCTGAGGCTGTGTGTAATGTCTTGCTGCAGATCGTTGCAAAAATTGAGAGCATCGGTTCGATGCCCAACTTGCACGAGATCGCCCAGGCAGCCGATGTCCTTATGGTGGCCAGAGGAGATCTTGGTGAGTGGTGGTCGAAGATTGTGAGTTGAGAGCGTGAACCATGGACCATCATATGTTGGGGATGTGGATGGGACCTGTTGGGAGAACAATTTTGTTAAGACCACAGCTTGTGGTGGCATCTATACCCACAGTCGTTTGTTCCAATGGACATTCAGGCATGTCAGTGGTGAAGCTATTTGCAATTTGCTATTTGCAGCAGATGCATTGGAGGCAGGGGTGTGTGCGGATGCTTGTCAATGGCCTGGGAGAATCAATGTGTTCAGATTGCAATGGCAATGTGTAGCCTGCTGTAGTGACCTCAGGCATGCACTGGCAAGTTGGGTGCTGGGCACAGTCATGCAGAGTGTGTTGGTGCAGCAGGAAACTAAACTTACATTGCCATCAGAATCTGAACTCCTATTTACAAAAATGGACAGTTGCAAAGCATGATAGCAATGGCATGAGCAAACACAATTTGTGGTGGGAAGGTGGTTTCCTGCTGGCTGTGTGGAGGTCATGCGGGACTTACCTTGAATCTGCAAGGTGCGATGCAGCCTGCCAACACATGTGCCCATGTGACGCTTGGCATGATGGGGGATGTTGTTGGAAGCAGTGGCCATGTCCTACACATTTTCTGGATTCAGTCACGGTTTCCTTGTTGTGTCCGTTAGGTGCCCAAATTGATATTGAGGAGGTTCCTTCTGTCCAAAAGGACGTTGTCGTGAAAGGGCGAAAACTGGGAAAGCCAGTCATTGTGGCAAGCCATCTCCTCCAGTCGATGATCGAGCACCCAATCCCAACAAGAGCAGAGGTGGAAAGGATGGAACCATATATTTTGGTGTCAGCCACAATGCCGTGCTCTGTGCAAGTCCAGATTTTGCTGCTACATGCACCAAGAATTGTTGAATACAGCAACTTCGGCGGTTGTGTCCGCTGAAGCATTGAGAAGCTTAGTTGACAGCTGAGACATTCAACATTGGCAAATTCGGTCAAGAGCATGTGCACGGCCTCTCCATGATGCGAGGGCTCTCGAACACAGCTGCCTGGTTCTCTTCAATTGAACTGCAGAGCCAGTTGGCGCAATTGACAAACCTTCAGTTGTTCAACTCTTCAATCAATATTTCGTGAATTTCAACTTTGTTCTTTTCCATTTTGAAGCTGCATGCGATGTGTTGCTCCACAGTGCATGGCGTGCATAGATCCACACCAGCCTGAGTGCGGCATGCATGTCTGGACTTTGAATCTATGACTGTAGCGTTAATGGGCGCTCAATGGTGTTCTTGTCTGTGGCGTGAAGGTTGCTGACATTGCAGACTGCGTTCGGCAGCAAGCTGACGCGCTCATGCTGTGCGGCGAATCTGCGGTGGGTGCGTATCCTGGCAAATCCATTGATGTCCTGAAGTCCGTGGCGACGCAGGTGGAGGAGTGGTCCAGGTGAGGTACCTCACAAGCTGCCAGGCTGCCCCTTTGCCTGTTGGATGGGTAAACACTTTGCACAGTCTTGTTGTACTTCAGAGCGCTGAGTCTTGTCTGGGTTGGTATTCGTCTGGCGGCAGGTGTGGAGTGCTTGCGTCGGGTCTCATGTGCTGGTCTCGCCTAGATTTCCTGACAAGCGATCTGCTTCTTTATTCCAAACATAGTACATAGCATTGAAGGACCCATGCAGACATCAAAGATGCGTGTTTTTTCATTTTTCTTGTTTTCCCTTACCTTTCCCTTCTGTGGGCCTATCATGCCACCAGCAAGAACGTGCAAGGAACTCGGCATGCGTTGCCCAAGCGACTCCCACCACCACATATCTTCTGTGATGGATATGTCCAGTGCCAGGCGCAATGACCTCACGAGCGGTTGATGGTGGCGCAGGCAAGAGAAATTCGGCGTTGTTTCTCTGCCACAAATTGCCACGTCGGACGACGGCCGCGTGAGCGAGGAGCTGTGCGCCGGTGCCGTGTCGACAGCAAACAAACTCAAGGTGCAGGCACAGTGGCTGACAGGCATGATGTTATGTGGTATGCCAACAATTTCTTAATTGTGCCTTGGAAATCATTCCAGGCAAGCAATCGGGGACTGAAGCGAGGTTGCGCGGTGCCAAGGCGGCAGCGGGTGGACATTCGACAACATGCATGATGCCACATGTGTGCTTTTGCTTGCAGGCACGTGCGATATTCGTGTACACTCGAAGAGGGCACATGGCGAATTATCTATCAAGGTTGCGTCCTGACTGTCCGATATTTGCATTCACAGGTAAGGCTGCACAAACATGCAAACGAACATATCGCTTTCTGAGATCGCAGAAGATCGCTTTCTGAATCGCTTTCTGAGATCTGAATTGAGCGTTGTTGTGGGTGCAGACTGCAACCACTGACAATCCATGGCCGTATGAGTTATACGGTATGACACGTAGTGCTGATGGCACAATAGTGGCAAATGACAGCTGCATAGTGCTTCCCAACCGCGGCAGTCTTCCTGATGTCTTTTAGTGCGTCAGCACAAAGGGGACGCATGTCAATATGAAATCACAGTATTGCCTTTGCGCTGTGTTTTACAGCATGTCCTCGATGCCAAAATGCAAGACTGACTGATGTGTATATTGTACAGACAGCAGCTCTGTGAGGAGGCGCATGAACCTGAGATGGGGTGTCATGCCATTTCGAATGAGTTTTGGAGCGCACCCTGATGACAACATCATGAGGGCGTTCAAGTGCGGCTTCTCAGCACAGATTTCTGGAAGCTTCATGATGACGTGCTTCGTTTCCTGCTTGTTCATGTGTTTCAATTTCAATCAGCCAATCTGTCCGTAGATCAATCCATCCTTCCATGCAGCAGAAGTCGATGTTGCTGAAGTCACGCCTCTCAGTGCTCAACGAAAGCTGCTCAAGCCCCTTGCGCCAAAACACCTATTTTCTGTTCGTTAGTTCAGAACGAATCGGAGTCAAATGCGATGCCTCGCGACTTTCATAAGTCGCGACCACCGTTGATTAATAGTGGCCAGCCGTGTTTCAGGCTGATTGTTGACAACAGTGCTTGTCTGCCTTGTTGCGCAAATTGCCTCCGATGTTGGCTCCTTGGCGCTTGCATTGATTGGCTGTTTGCGGTGCGCCTGCCGCGGCTGCCAGGTTCCTGAAGATGCGAAAGCTTGTCAGTGGCGGAGATCTGGTGGTGGTGGTCAGTGACATCAGGCCAGCGGAGGGAGACGTCGTCCGGTCGGTGCAAATTCGGCACGTGAGATGAGGCCACCGCCCGCCCACCGACATTTGTCCGGCAATCGGGTGCGCCTTGGCACCGAAACTTCGAATTGCGGAATTGGGGCAGGTCAGGAGTGGTGGAGAGGCGCGCACGCGCAGACGGCGCTGCGCTCCCTGCCGCCCTCCTTCTCTTCCTGCGAATGCACTTTGATTGTATTTTCCTTTTCACGGCAGACGGGGATTGGGATTGATTGGAGGCGGGTGCCTGCAAGGCGTCCGCCGTCGGTGGCTTAGCGATTGAAATTCATTCAATGGGATGCCAGGTGCCTCTCCTGCCGACGGGGTCGCTCGCAAGGGACCAGTTTAGGATCATGGGCCACGTGGGGGATCGCGCACAGGAATGGAGACATTGTTTGTGAGCGGCATTTGTGGCGCTTTGCGTTGGGACGCTGCGGGCGACACCGCATCTTCAGGCGCCCTAATTAACGCCCCCGCCGAAAGACTGTGGCAAGCGTGGCAACGCTGTCTGAAGCTGCACCCGCGCAAGTGTTGACTCCGTGAGCACAAACGTTCTTTCGGCAGGTGGGAGCCTGGCCGCCTGGCTGTCTACTTCTTTTCGGTGATTCCGCGTTGTGACATTTCGTACTGGGAAGCGGGTTTGGATTTGCTGCGCCAAAGGACAATTTGTTGGCGCCGGCCTGGTCCAGTGGTAAGAGGCGGCGTGGCCGTCGGGGGTGTGTGCGTGCGTGTTCTTGATGATCGGATTGACTGTAAACACATGGAGGCTGGACACTGCATGGTGCTATCGTGGCAGGGTGAGAGAGCGCATGCCCAGCCAAGGATGGTTGCGCGCACATCAGCGACATCACACATATACATTCACATGTCCGGTTCCATTTAAATAGTCATGATACTGCCCCATTCTGAGACAGCCCTCACATTATTGTGCCTCTGTTCATCGGTGGCAATCTCCAGCATGCAAATTCGTCCCCTAAATGGGAACATATGTCCATTTAAATTGGAACTGACGATGCCTCCCTGGAACCAAATCGCAGCTTGGGGAGGCACAGATGCCACCAGTAGGTGCGCGTGGGTGGGATGCAACTACTGGCAAAATGCAGCCGTGCTGTCGGGTAGCTGCTTGCAAGCCTCGCTCAAGGAGAGACCGCCGCCCCGCGGTTACTGAACAGGCTGCGGTGACATGTTTGCCTCCCAGCCTGGCCATGTGCGGGGCCTTTTTGCTAAGACACGCCAAAACTACAGTCATTTGAGAGTCCAGGGGCCGTCCCCATAGCAAGAGAACTCCTACGAGGGATGAGCTTGTGTTTCATTCACGACCAATGCCCACACTTCCCTTTCCTGCCTTCCTTCATATCAGAGGAAACATGCTACGCGTAGCGATACAAGCGTATACGATCCTGCACATATACGCGTATACAATCCTGCGTCGTTGCCGTGAAAAGCGTTGCCGCAGCTTCATGCATGGAGGATTGACCGATACCTGTCATTGCCGGATATGACGGCCACGAAAGGGTCGTGAAGGCCAGGAAGGCTACTAAGAACCTAAAACCCTGGAAAGCCTGAACAGTCTGAACCCGGAATTACCTTCGTGATCTCCATGATCTTCATGACCTCATGTCCGGAAATGAAGGACATCGGGCATCTGTGCGTGGCGCGCAATGCGCCCAGTGCATGTCTGCTACTTTCACTCATGAGCCTTGCTTTTGGGTTCGCTCGAGTCATCTGGCAAGCAGACAAGGGCCGATTTATATTGGAGCGGGTGTTCGAGAGCATGAGCTGTGGCCCAATGTTTTCAAATGCAGCTCAGCGCACACAGGTGAATACATATGAGTGATGCGTGGCATTGCCAAATAGCGGTACCACGCTAGGAAAACACATCTTGTATTGGGTGGAGTTTCTTTCAGGGTCGCATTCACATTCAGCTGCAAAATGGCAAAGGCCCCAACTTATTCTTAGCAGGGCGAGAGTGCGCTTTTGTGTGTTTGGGCTCCTTCGCATTTTAACACATATTGACACATACACCCTTGAAGACGAATGCCGCTATAGAAGAGCAGCACAGAAGCGCAAGCCTACGGCCCACACATGCCAGTGAAGCCGCATAACAGCAGGCCGTCCTTGTCTTCCTGGTTCCACTGGCAAGGGATCAAAGAAGATGTGCGAGAATGTTGGCAGTCGTGCAGGAGCCCATGGAAGTACGAAGATTGAAGGCTTGTGCCAGGTGTGACAGCGTGAATCCAGGGCAAGCGACCTTTTGACATGGGGTCGATCCGTTCCTTTTTGTCGGCATGAGGGCTGCGCGTGGAACCTTGCACATCATAGGCCGCTAAGGAACGTTGGCCATCAACATGAGCTGTGGAGCAGCTCACATCATGGACATTCAAAGCTGCGGTGCGATGGATGAGCGGGGTAAGAAAGTGCACATTGCGTACTTTGTGCACTTGTGCACATTGTGTACATAAGTGCGCATTGTGTTGCGTGCCCAAGTCCACTGAAACGGAAGGTCCCCTTGACTCAGCGGCTCTTCCAGCCGTGAGCCCTTTATGTTATCTTTGCCGAGCGCGGGTGCCTTGCTGGGCTGCGTCGCCTGCATGGAGGATTGCAACAGCCTCCAACAGAATGCAACCGTGTGCACTGCAGACATGGTAAAAGGACAGAAGCGAATCTATCTTGAATCGAAGCGAATGTACGATCGTCCCCAGCGATGTCCCAGGCACAGGGCACATCTTGCTGGCAAGCTGCGGGCACTCGCAGCAGACCACCGTTCCACGCTGGCGATGTCGAATTCTTGCAACAACGCCTGCCGCTCACAACGTACTTGAGCAGACACAGGGCCCCCAGAGTGTCATGACATTGACGCCGCTTTCGGCAAACAGCCTGCCAATACTCCCACCAAGGCAAAAGCGTAAGGAAATTCATCCATGCACCACTCGCTGCTCTCCACAAACTCTCTCCCGTTTTTGTTCCATGCAGTGTTCATTCAGCTTGCTCCCCGCAGGACAACACCCAAGACAAAAAAGAACGCTCTCCACACCTTTCCCTGCCCATGCTCCCTATGTGCTGCAAATTTAGGTGCCGTCACTGCTTCCCTTCGCCCCACAGAACGTGCGGACATCAGTCCCCCTTTTTCCGCTTGCTGCTTTCCCCGTGCTTTTTGCGGTAGAACGACATGAACAGCGCCAAGAGCGTCTGCATGTACACGAACAGCCCCGCGGACAGGAACTTGGGATATGGTGAGTAGCAGTAGCAGTACGCAGCTTGTGCCATCATGGAAACGAACTGGGCCATCTGGAACTGTGTCATGTGCTTGCCCCACCACAGGTACTTCCGACGCAGCTTGGCGTTCTTACCCAGCACAGTGGCTGTGAAGTAGTAGGTGTACATCAGCACGTGCACCAAAGAGTTGAGCGAGGCAGAGTACCATGCTGAGGTCAGAGGCACAGAACACCCGTCAGTCCTCTGGCACTGCCTACAGCGAACCGCAAGTACATTTGGTCGAATAGGGTGGGGCGTGCAAGGGAGGGATTAAGTGTGTGTGTGTGGCTAAATTCGCTATGTTGGCATACACCAACTTGAGCCGAGTGTGCCCCTGCACCCTCCAAGCGATATCCGGCGGGTCAACTGCAGCTTGAGGTGTTGATGTTGGCTGAAGGCAATTGACAGTGACAACTCAGAGCTATGTAGGTACAGCACAAGCCAAGCAGCATCACAAACGACGTCAATCGTATCGTTCCAACATGACAGCGAGGGCAATGCTTCCGGTGCTGGCACAGCTGTCTTTGAACAGTCTCGACAAGAATTTGCTATTGAATGGGGTGGGCATTCTACTGCGTAAAACAGATATGTTGCATGAGAAAGCTGTGTAGCAAAAGTGCCATGAGTAGTCACCTCAATTTGCTCTATTCGATGGTGACAAAGTGTCCATTGTTGCATGGATGGCACAGGCACACAGTTCAGATTGCACATGATTGCCCTATTGTCAGGATGCATAACATTTGAACTATCATGAGGGCATCAGTCATCCTGGTGAAATGGTTCCAAAAGAGAAGAAAGGTGCAATATGAGGTGAAAAAGCATACCGTCTCCTCCTGGTGCCACATATGTGATCATCCACCTACAATATAAGCAAACAACAAGATATGGGCACACAGCACCCAGGGACTGCCAACCAGCAGCATCATTGCAGCATGTAAAACAAATGACGGACGGACAGTATCTTTGCAACATGTCACTGGTACACATACAAAGATGTTGCTGCATTTCGAATTGTGCGAAAAATCACTCGCCTGTCCTGTGCTGCATTGGTGCTACACTCAGCAAATCGGTTCAGATTGGTCACATAGCATTCATATGCCTTGTCACTTTTCAGCATCTCGCATGTCAACCAGATCCATATCGTCGTGAGGCAGCCAAAAGTTCTACCTGCCCTTCACATTGGGTGGTCTCCGAATCAGATTTGCGATTCGAATATGCCCAAATTGGCCTCACATCCAGCAAACCACTTTGTGCCCTTGTGCATGGTTTAGAAGGACATAACCAGTAGAACAACTGCAATGCACACCCAAGAAGCTTCACACACATTTGGGCTCGTTGTCTTTTTTCAAATTTCCTCCTCGTTACCCAGTTCTCCCTTTCATGTCCAGTAAACTAGTGCCTATGCCCCTCTAGAGGATGGCAGCCATGCCACAGATGCACTAGCAAATGATGACAAGTAAAGTTTTATTAACTCCAGAATATACAGCATACACCTCATGTTTAAACTGTGCACTCTCAATATCGAAAAACTTGGATGAACAACAACGCAAGTTCGCCCTCGAGAAGCAGCAAACAAGGATAATTCGCAATCTGTCTACCAAGGCGCACCCACCACCACAAGGATATGGAGACATGATGGTAGACATGCAGGAAGGACACCTGGTGGGTATTTCCTTTTAGAAGCATCACCATCTGCAACGCAGAGCAAGCAAAGCAGATTGACCATGCAACCTCACATCTCCAACACATTCAATTTTGACATTGCACCTTGCCAACCGGGTTTTGCCCGCAAGCCCACCTTGCCACCAATCAACTGACGCTAGTGAGGTTGCACAACGCCACGGAACACCAAGCACTGGCTGGTTGCACTGCAAACTCCAAAATGCACAAGGCGATGATGTGCAACAATGATGTCGATTTGACATAGATTGCCATGTGGATCTTCAGGACCGGCTAGCCAGTTTGTCGGGCTTCAAAACAACACAGTGATTCTGGCTGCACAACATCGCCCCAGAATGCAGCGGTCTGTTCCAGCGACTGTCGTGCGCCCCCACTTCGCACTCAAAACGACAACGGAAAACCTGGCAGCAGTTCCAAGCCATTGTGAATAGCCAGATCACCCGGAACAACCAGTAACCAAAGATACGCTGCCAGCGGATGGCCAGCCACCGTCTCAGCGCAGGGCTCACCGCGAAACACACCGCACACCTGCACGCCGCGCCCATCATGGGTACCCCTCGAGCACCCAAGCACCACCGCCATCAAACGCGTCCGGCACATCACGAGAACCGCGTCACACAGTCACTCGAAACAACAGCCGCGGGCAGAATTCGCCACAGGCCCCTCACCGTGTCAAAGAACTCGTAGATCTTCGACACGAAGAATATATATATGATCCTCGCCATCCCTGCCTCCTTATCTGAGTACCCCGTGCCCCAGAAGGCGTACCCATTGGCCCACGCCTGCCACACCACCGTGGCGAACATGTAGGCGCTGAGCGCGATCAGCACCAGGTTGTGCGCCTGCACCACGGCGCGTATCCACGCCGGATCTTTCCCGCCCCTCGCTGCCCTCAGCCTCTCCCCTGCCCCTGACCTCCAGAACGCCAGCCCCATGAACACCGTCAGCAAATACACGATCCACGCCGTGACCATGGGTGCCGGGCTGGACACGAACGGCAGGTTGCTCGTCAAGGGGCTGGGGTTTCGGATCTCGTGGAAGCCCATCTGTTCGGCGAGTGTCGTCATGGACTTCGACACCATCGCGTCCCAGGCGGCCCAAGCATCCGCCAAGGCGGAGGGGAGATCCTGGGCAGGCGGCGCCATCGCGTGAGGCGGCAGGACGTCCATGGTGGACTCCATGGCGCCCGGGGTGGGAGGGGTGGGGGTGGGGTGGGGTGGAGCGGGCGGTGCGCGCTTGGGGGCGCCGGGTGCGGGGAGGCTGCTGACGACAAGTGCGCGGCGGTTGGTGGCTTGGGCCCTTGAGATATGGACGGATCAGAATCGAAGCTGGAGCTGTTAGGTACTAGAGTCCGTGCGTTGGCATGAGGTCGCAGTTGGCGCGGGTGTGATTCATCGGCAATTTTCTTGTCATCAATGGCTTCTCGGGAGCGTTTGGGTCTCAATTTTGAGACGTTTAAACGTGTGAGAAATCATTGATGACAAGATGACAACGGAAATTTCTGACATCGCTAGCCTCGCCCCCTTGATCGGTTGAGGGCGCCGGGGCGGGTGCTGACGATGCGTTGGGCGTTCTGTTCTTCGATGGCACAACGTCTTCATGGGAGCCGGCGTCTTGACAGTTACGGACCCGTTGGTCCGCAGACTGCTTTTTGGACGCGTGCTGAGGGATGTGCGCACTCTGGGCACGCTTTCATGGGGAGCCAAGGATGGGATTCAACCAGGCGGCCTTGGCGGGATGCACCAGATCGAGGGATGGGTTCTCTAATTAAGGAGGGAAAGCGACCGCCACCTGCCATTTGCGCTCCAACCTGCCAGCCCTATGACATTGAGCTCGAATTTGGATTGAGCCAAGCACAGTTTGCGTGTTTTTGGTACTTTGGTTCAGGTCATGCAGCACAATGCAACTCCGATGACGGCAATCTGCCTGTTACGAAATGGGTGGCGATGTATTTAAAGATAAAAAGTGCAATTATCTTGGTGGCGAGAGGATCCGTTACCCAGAAAGGCAGCAGACTGGGGGCTGCCAGTGTGGCTTGTCCAGCGGCAAGAGCTGTGGTCTTGCGCGGAACCCAAACTGCCCCACAATGAAAATCCCCGATTGTTTGGATCTAAGTATTCACCGAGACCCTGGAGTCAATCTGCCACAACCCCAACATTGGGTCGGCGCGTTTCCTGCAGTAATATTCAACATGTTGAATCTGAATGTACATCGTGGCGCAAGCACTGAATATTTCATACACCAGTGGTGGGGTGTCCCCAGCTCCCAACGCCCCTGCCACCGTCCCCTCCCATTCCAGCACATGAACCCCATTCCACCAACGTCCACCGCACGACCCACCCCACCCCGTCCCCGGCAATCCTTCCCCTGCGGAGCGTCCAAACCTGCCCGTCCGCACCGTCCCCTCCACCCCACCCAAACCCTCCTCCATCGCTGCCAGCCCTCGCCCATTCTCCCCGCCATCCCATCCACACACCCAAGATGCCCGCCTGCCAGCCCGCACTGCCCCCACCCCCAAATCCCCCCCGCTGCAGCCCCCTACAAATCCTTCTTTGCCTTCCTGACTTTTTTTCCTCCTTTCCTTTTTATAGCACGGACGGTGACATACACTTTTGTCGTGACACCATTTACAGGAAATCTACTTCCTTTCCTTGTTTCCTTTTCTTGCTTCCTTTTTTTCCTTTCTCCTGTCCTTCTTTCCCTTAACTCTCCCACTTCAATCCCCTTTGTTCCCTCCTCCCAAACCTGCGCCCGCCATCAGCGCCCTCCGCCCCCGCCCGCCCCGCCACCCTCTCCGAGCGCCACGACGTCCGCCGCGGCCAGGCTGGCCGTCGGCGGCCCCATCCCCTGCCGCATGCTGATCAGGTCCATCGCCGCGGCCTCCACGCCGGGCGGCCCCGGCACGTAGGCCCCCGGGACCAGGTGCTGCGGCCCGAGGGACGCCACGGGAACCGGCAGAGGCACCGACACGCCGGGATCCGCGGCTGCGACGGCCGGGGCTGATGAAGCCTGGGGTGGGTCGGACATGGCCAGGGGCCCCGCGGGGGGGAGGGGGATGGACGGGTAGGCCATGGCGGCGTGGCCCTGGGCCTGGCAGGGCACGGAGGGGTGGACGGCCGGCGTGGGCGGCTGGAGGGAGGCGGTGGGGACGGCGGAGGGAGGGGCGGCGGGCGTCTGGGGGTCGGCTGCCTTGGCCCCGGGGACGGAGGAGGCCGTCCGGGCGTAGCCGTGGTGCCTGCTCCGCCTGCCAGGGTGCAATCGCGCGTCAGTTCGCTTGTGCAACGTTTCGGCGCATTTGAGGCTACGTGCGCCGGCCCCGGTCTGGCGGGGGAGTTGTGGTCCTCGCGCCACCTCGCAGGAATTTCCAAGGCGACGCAAGGGTCAAAACGACTGACGGCGCGAGTCTCGCGGTTGTTGATGGCCGGATTGCGCGTTGCGTCCAGGAAAGTGTCGCGTCCGAGTCCTGCGCTGGAGACCTCCGATTGTGTCTACCGTTTCCGATATCGTGCCCCGAACAGAGCCAGGTCTGGCAACTCGAACCACGGGCGAGGGCGGCGCCAGTTGCGACCCCGATGCGCGCCTTTTGAAAACCGTTCAATATGCAACGGTGCGGAGTCTAGAAGGTGCACGCGCCCAGGTCGGCCTGGGGCCAGTCACAGACGCGCTGGGCCTTAAGATCTCCGGTGCTGCCTGGCTGTGGAATTCCAGGATTTGGGTGCACTGCAGGCCATTGCCCGCGCACAGGGCCGCCTGGTGAGCAGGCACAAGTCAAGTCGGCAGTGCAGAAATTGCTCCCAACCCACAGGTGCTGCCGGAACATTGAACGGCGGCGGCAGAGAATTCCTGCAGGCCAGGCGCCCATGGTATGCGACCACTATGCAACCGATTGCATCCCGCCCATCCCCCGGATCACACATCATGTCGTGGGGTTGCACTTACTTGCGGCCCCATTTGAGCTTCAAGTCAGTGGGGCAGTGAGCCAGGCAGACTGCCACCTGCTCGGAGTCCCCATCTTCATCAGAAGACGAGCCTGCGAGTTCCCAACTGTTGTCCAGGGGGTCTCCCGCGCTGCCGCTTGGCCCTCGCTTGCCGCCCAGCTGCACATACTCATCCTGCCAAGGTCGAGGGCCGCGGGAGGACTGCTTGTTGTCCACCTCCTGTGTGGCAAGCAATGACTGCTGCCAGTCAGCATGCACACACACGACAAAATAAGGGTGCTCCCTTGAAACCAAGTGGACCATGTTCACGTCCTGCTCCCTCAGCAAACCCCTTCGCTCGGCCCCACTTGCACCGTCTCTTCGAAACAGCCCTGGCGCACTTCGCACTGTTCACGTTATCGATGAGAAGTAATGATTGCAGGACACAAGGATGAGGGATTAGCAAGCAACCGGGCGCTATTTCCCTCCATGCGCAACTGACCTGGCAGATCTGAATCTTGATGCTCTTCACGAGATTGGCGGTGATCTGGAGCCCTTGGGCCTCCGCAATCTCCACCGCCTTGGCCCAAATGGCATTCACCTCCTCCTTGGAGCACAGCGCGAGGCACCGCACCTGCACGCAACCACCAAACGCTCGACGCCCCTGCGGATGCCCCAAACGCCTGACGTCTCGGCGGCAGTCGTCTTCATCAAACCCAACAGTACTTGAGAGTTCGCCCCCAGTACTTAAGAACCCGTTGAGCGGCGTCGCGCGGTGGGGCCCCTGTTGGGTTGGATGCCCGTCTCCACGGGCGGCTCCACGGCTTTCCAGTTTGTCGCTACATGCGTCATCCGTGGGGTTGAGACAAGACAGGCGCGTGGCGGGGGCCGGCCCCGACCGCCAAGAGCCGTGCCGACGCCTGCCAACGGACGAGCAAGCGAGGCCCTCCCTCGACGGTCCGGCTCATTGTGACCTGGGCGAGCGGAATCAAACAAAACGGGAGAATTTCATGGCCGCCACCCCTCCCGCCCCTGCACCGACACACGCCCTGCCACGCAGGCACCGCTCTGCGCCCGCCGCACGGGCAGGTTACCGGGGGACCGCGCAGCGGCAACCGGACTGCATCATATCGTGGAGGCGGTCAACCGGGACGGATCTCCTCCCCACGCACCCGGCATTGGGCCAAGCGAGGCGGATCCCGCCGGCAGCGGATGGCCGCCGTGTGGCCGTCGCCGCGGCATCCTCGGCGGGCACGCAGACGCCGAGCGCCTCGGCGATCGCCCGGCGGCCGGACCGATCTGAAACGCCCTGGCCGTGGCGCGATCTTCTGGTCGCGCTGCCCTCTCATCCCGGCCAGCTTGCCGCCGTGCGGACGGACGCCCGAGTTGGACCCCTTGAGCCACGGAGGGTCGCCGCCGCCGGGCGCCACGCAGTGAGGGAGCTGGCGGGGGGGACCACGGCGACAGGAACTGGCAACCGGCGCGCGCACGATTTCCGTGAGGCATTGGCGCCAAATCTCGCCGAAGGCGGTAGCCCCCCGGCGGAAAGAGCCATATGCAAACGGGGCGCCCCGGGCTGCGTCACCGGCGGGATGCGGGTGGAACAATCGCATGCAGAGTCTCAGTAGCCACGACACATGGGCCCAAGAGAAAAGTCGCCGGTCGGCGTTGACATTTCTGACGTGGGTTGCGCGTCCGGAGGCGCTGGGCGGGCGCTTCCCCGCGCGCACGGGCCAGAAAGGGCGCTCCGACACGCCGGCCCTCCCGGGCGCCCCCCCGTGTCCAGGGACGGCGGACGGTGGCGGGGTCGGCTGCGGATCGCGATCGGGGGCGCCAGTCGGCGGCGGCGGGTTTGGTCACTGCGCGGACGGGAGCGGGAGGCCCCCGCGCCGGGCGCCGCCGCCAATGGGGCCGTAGGGAGCGCTTTGTGCGGGGTGGAGTGGGGTGCGCGTGGTGCGGGTTGGACCCTGGCGTCCTCGACTTATAATTCCTCCGTCTGGAGGCCAAGGCCCCAGCCCTTGCCGCCCAGAGCACCCCCCGCATGATCCACTCCGCGCGATCCGTCCGGCGTGGCGCGGGAAGCCCAGGCGCCTTGTGCCCGGACCCCCGGCACCAGACAGCTCATCATCCCCCTAGGGCCCCCACCCAGGCGGCGGATCTCGCCCAGCCCGCCGAGCGGGATCGGAGCGCGCCCCGCAGCCTCATGGGCCATACCCGCCGCCCGTGCGTCGATCCGCGCCCGGCGCCATGCGCCCCCTGGCCCACGGCGACTACCTCCAACACACTGGGCCCGTTGGACTGGGGGAACATTTGCGGATGCCTACCCGGGCGCCAGTCCGGGGGTACACGCGCCAGGCAGCTGCGCCCAAGCCCCTGGGAGTGATCGATTGACCGTTTCCCGCGCGCCTGCACGGCCCCGACGGGGGGCCTCCGCCCGCCCCCGCCCGCCAAACGCGGTCCCCCCTCCCACCTGCTTCTCGCTGGTCGGGAGCGCCTTCTGGCGGCCGGACAGGAAGTCCATCACGCGCACGGCGTTCATGTACCGCCGCGCACTGCGCCACTGGAAGGTGTGGTGCTTCAGGACGTACTCCCTCAGGTTCTTGCAGCCCCGCAGGGAGTACATCTTGTGCCGCTGGATCTCCAGCAGTATGTTGCCCATGATCTTGAACTGCGGTTCCTGGTACTGGTGCAGCACGGACTCCAGGATCTCCAGCTTCTGAAGTCGGCCGTCCGCCACCTCCTTGCCGTCGCCCTCCTTCATCGCTGCGCCGCGGCGGCCGGCCCGGGCGGTGCTGCTGGGGCCCACCCGCGCCAGTCGAGCAGCATTCGGTGTATTGGGCGCGCGGGGGGCGCTATTTTCCGCGGCTGCCATTCTTTGGTCCCCTCCACCGCAAAGCCCGGTTTTTTTATTCAAGCCCGGGAGACATTTCTGTCACCGTGTTGCATCACTACCCTTGCACATAAGAACGCGGTTTGTAGGACGCGCACGACGCCAGCCCTCCCCAAGCGTCGTGGTGTCGCGGAGTGTGGAGTGTTGTGCAGACGCAGAGTTTTGTGAGCGTTGTGTGCAACAGACCCAGTGGGCCAGCGTGTGTTGCTCAGGCGATGTAGGACGGCCCCAGATGACTGTCTGCCAACCCCAACCAGCGGTGGTCGGCCCTTGCGGTGCCGTGTCCTCGCAGAGCCCTGACTGGCCGAGCGGCATTCGCGCATCTCACTGCGCCTGCCGCGCGGCTGGAGCAGCTGGCGAAACGATCGCCTGAACAACACCGACTCGCGGACCATTTGGTTGCATCCGTCCGTCTCAGCTATCAATGTTGGCCTTGCACCGTGCCAGTATCGAAGGACAAGCTGCGGCACCGATTTACCGAGCCCGGGAAGTTGTCATCCCACCAATGGCTGCCGTCGGTTATTTCGGGGCGGCAGCCGCGCGTATGTGCTGGGCTGCGGTGGCGCCGGACCGGCCTGTTCACAGCAGAGCCCTCATGCGCCCTATCCATGTGAGGTCCCAATAAGGAAGCCAGCAGGAGTGTCAGGCGCAGTTCCTTACGTTCAATTTCCTGTTTACGATTTTCACTTGTTTCACAGTTTGTTACGTGCGTCTGCCTGACAACCGGTCTCGAGGCAAGTAGTATGTTAGTGTGGCTCGGCTGACAGGCGCAAGCTCACTGGTTGCAGTGCTCCGTGAGCCACGCGACCAAACTTCTGAAAAGAGGGCACAGCTTCGGCAAAGAGCTTACGCCTTTGACACACTGCCCACGAGCCGGGGGGGGAAGCACTGGTGGGCACATGCCTTCAACCTGGGCAAATCACTGTCGTACGATGTGCAACTCCTGAATTTCTTCTTTGTTTGTGAGATTGGTGCGCAGCGCAAAAGAATGCGGAGGCGCGTGTCAACTATATGAGGGGTGAATGGGTGGGGTGGGGCTGATTCGTATGAGCCGTTGTGAATGAATTACAACAGCGATCCCACCTCCAACGATCAGCTGTGCTGCACTTTTTGTGTCAGTTGTCGTCAAGGGGCTCCTTGCTTGGCGCTTTGCCCAGTCAGCATTGTCGGGCTTTGGTCACATGCCTTGGAGCTTCCCCGTTTCCAATGACGTTGCCAACACGTGGAGAGAACGCAGCATTTCCCGTCCAAGAGTCCCAGAGGCACTGGCATCATTACTTTGCAATTGTGGACTGATTGCTGGCAGCGCAAGCTTGGCAGCATCATGCTTTCTTTCCACCCTAGCAAGGTACACTTTTTTATGTGCGTGAGTGTAGGTGGGAGAGTGAAGTCAATCAAATCAATTAAGCTTCCCTAAAATGACGCCTCAACAACACAGGTCATGGCACCGTCCATTCAGAGTTCAACTTTGGTACTCATTGTTATCGTCCATCTTGTTCTTAATGATCCCCAAACAAAAAAAGCCCACACAAGGAATGAAGTGAAGGTTGGGGTTTGGGGTGCGGTGGGGAGGGTGAGGGGTGGGGGGAAATGCCCATGGTGACAAGAGCGCATCAGCTGACGACAAAACAGCCCTCGCACATGCACAGTGCTGTAGTAACCTACGAAGCAGTTAGATCAAGATGTTAGCTCGCGTTCTCGCTCCCTAAATGTACAATTAGCATTGCTGTGAACCAGGACTATTTGCAAATGCTTGTTATTGAAGATGGAGATGAACATTGGGTCGTCTCCTGTGCTGACCAGATTATTTATTTTGCATCAGGGCCAGTTTTCGGGCAGTGTTGCCCTGCTGCACCTGGGGCCGTTTTCAATCTCAGGCCCATCTATGTCAGACATACCTCTTATATCCTCTTGTGTTCGAGAACTGTGAACGACCACATACAACCCACACACTTCCCACTGTTCACGTCAGGTGATCACCTCCATTCACCTCTGCCACCAAAAATCTGTGGAATGCATATGTGTGTTGTGAGGTATATTTGTCTGGAGACAAGTCGTACACTGGAATAGCACTTCCCAGTTGCAGCCAAAACAGAAATTTGAAGGCCAAGCTGAGGTGGGCATGGAGAAATTGGGGTGTTCAGATGGTGACACATGAAACAGGTGCAGATACGTTTGTCTTAGCCAGTGACCAGCTGCATATGGATACAATTTATAACGACTGCTGGACAGTATTTGGCTGAAAGATAAAAAGAGAATTATGGGCGATAGGGAATAACCACAGGAGTGCAGATTATTTGTGTGCAGATAGAATGGCTGCGACTGCAGATGGCACTGCAGGGGAAGGCCTCTAGGTATGTCTTCTCCAGACGTTGCGCGGATGAGGGTGTCGAGTTGAAGTCCACAACATTGTGTGCTGCCTGTTTGGAGGGTGGGTGAGCACATCCTCGTTTGGAGGGATTGGCATGGCTGCATGTGCGCAACTCACAGTTTCAGGAGCAAGGCACATTACCTGTCAGCCGGGATTGGAGAGTGGCTTCTTGTTGTTCCCTCTAAGCATGATAAGCATCCTGCTGTTGTGAAATATTGCCAGCATGCGTACTTGGGCTGTGTCGACATCGAGGCTCTGGTTATAAGTTTGGGTTGTTGGCTGCCTGATTCTCATGGCTTTCTCACTTGCCTCAGTGGCACTGTTTCAGGCAACATTTTTTATCAGTACTGCTGTGGTGGCAGACAGTTGCAAGGCAGATGTTTTCCAACAAGAAAGCCAATGAGCAAGTGGTACAGCAATGGAAAGTGGCGAGTGATTTGGCTGTGCCTTGATGCAGACTGATCCCTGGCAGTTGCACTTTGGCATTCAACACATGCGCTGCTGTCCTCTGCCTGTGCTTGTGGTTGCATAAACTATAAACTATCGCCAGCTGGCACTGACACTGTACAGGAGAGCCATTTTTGAAGTGCCATGCATGTTTCCAACACAGCTTGTGGGCGCCACTCCCATGGAGCTGTCTTTCTGGAGGGAACACTGCAGCTGCTACTTGGATCTGGTATGACATTTCTTGTGTTCAGGCAAATCCACAGGGGTACAACGTCTTAGTGCACTCCAATTAGCCCAGCTGAGGTTCAGCCCCTGCCAGTTGAGGTTCTAGCGAACCATAAGATGCGAGCATCAATTGCCATGCTCATGTGTTCCTCAGTACAGCCAGCACGCCTATCGATTATCCTGTAATTGGTGGATTCCATTTTTGCATCAGCATCTCGATTTCTCACTGAGCATCTGATCTACAGTGGGTCTCCTTCATGCTTGATTGACAGTGCCTTCTTCTTTCGGTGCGCCTTGCACCAGTCTGAAGTCTCCTGGGCATTATCTAGATAATTTTTGTGCAGTCGAGGTGATTTCCATCGCTGAGTAATGTTTAATAACAGATTGCCACAGTTCCTCGCCATTGCTGATCGCGATTTTATTTCGTCCAAATCCTCATCCCATCAGTTCATACAGATGTTTGAACGGTGAGGATCACACGGTGGGTTAATTTGTGCGTCTGTTGACCGGATCAGTTGAAAAACGTTCTGCAGCCATTTAAACAGTTCCAGGCTCGTCCAGTTCTGGCCATCATATGCTACCGTGCTGGAATATTGGCGTCCAATATTCCAGCACACTTGCCTGCACGGACTTTCACGGACCACCGAACGGCTGGTCCTGTGGTCGTTTCCATCAGCCCTCGTCGAACTTCACGTCTTTCTCCAGTTCCTTGAGGCATACGTTGCACACAACGGCTGCTCCCGTTTCAGCGAGATGCCCGGAAACGCCCAAAGCACATGCGGCCGCCCCACGGCAAGGGCCTCGCCCGCCTGCCCAAACCACACACCTCGAGCGCGCTCTCATGACTGCCTCCACGGCGCGCAAGCCTCTGCGCACGATCCCCTTGGGAGCAACCCTCTCGAGTGTTGGACACGCAGTGGTCGCGATTTGGCTCTTCGGAGGAAACTACAACCGGGCGAAAAAAACTGCAAAGGCATCTCAATCGTCGACACCACCGGGTGAACTGCCGCGTTTCTGTCGCGGCTGACTGTGGACCATCGGGTCCGACGGTGCAAACCGATTACGTCACACGCCCCCCTCCCTGCCAACAAGTCGTTGAACTCAACGCCCCCAATACCCTCTCCAGTTGGCTGCCGGCTCGGAGGGACGTGCGGGAAGCGAGGCGCCCAGTGCAGCCCTCACCAGCGCGTTCCAGGCCGCCGGGAAGTCGAAGGAACGGCAGGTAGCGCTTTTTCCCCACCCGCTGGTGCCGTGGGCGGCCACGGGATAGGCCCCCGGCGACGACCGCCCCTTCCGGCGCATCAGCCCCCCTTCGACATTCACCTTCGCAACGAAATCGACCGGTCGAAATCGACGCCGGATTGTTGTTGCTCGGCAACCTTCCCGAGATTTCAGCCTCTCTCGGCTCGGCTGCCTTTGCGGCGCCCGGGCCTGAGTGGACGCTCGGCCGATCGCGATTGACGACTGATGGCCCCTGCGGCCACGTGGTCCGCCGTGACCCGCGCTCTCGCGCCATCAATCGTTTGAATTCGTCCAGGCGGGGGTTTCTTCCGGGTGGTTGAAAGGTGATCGCCCCGCTCCCCGGTCCCTCGCACGCGGCCGATCCCGCCCGCCCCGCGTCCGCTCGGCAAGCGGCCTGACCCGCAGATCATCAGGCCGGGGCGGCCCTAGATCATCCAGTGCGGCGGCGCAATTTTGCGATTAACCGATCCGGTGGTGATCCAGCCCGAGACGAAAAATGGTGGGACTGTTCGGAATCGCCGCTCTCTCGACGTTGACCGATCGCAAGGGTTGTGTGCGGGCGTAATCTCGCTGCCGAAACCCGATCCCCTCTCGTGGTGGCCGTTGGGGTTTGTCAAATTCACACATGTCCCATCCATGAGCTTATCTCCCTTCCAGACGCTTGACATTCGTGACAACGGCTCCTAAAATTTTCATCCCCTCGAAACGGGTGATCGCCCGATCGGCCGATACACCCCGTTTCGAACCCCTGGGGCACGTGTCTCTCTCGTGTGTCTCATCTGCTGTGGCTCTCTCAAAGTGGCCGCGCTCAACGCCATCGCTCGCCGCTGCGCTGTGGGATCGGCACGGCAGGGTGCACCGTGTGTCTCACGGCGCGCGAAGCGTTGTGTGCAGGGCGAGGGCCGAGGGCGCCGGTGCCGGCCTCCTTTCGGGGTCGGCGGTGTCAGCGGGACCAAACGCGGATTACTAACCCGTGCCCGCGGTGGGCATGCGCAAACACGTTGTTCCGTTACTAAGAAGCGCCGCGGGCGGGGGGAGCACGGTGGGCCTTGGTTGATTGAAGTCGCATTGGTGTCGACGGTGCGGACTCCGGTCAGATAACACATCAGTCCATCTGTCCTTTCCGTGGGGTTCCCCTCTTCTTCCGTTAACAAGGCCAACGAGGGTCTGTGGCATAGGGCTTAGGGCGTCGAACTGAGAAGGGATGTTCACGGAAAAGACAGAGCGACTAATTTCATGCCCTCCGGTTCTTGGCTACTTGAGCGCTCATACAAGCACTGGCAAGCGCGGCGGCGGTTGTGAATTTTCCTGAAGGGAAGCCTCGAAGGGAGGGGGGCCTGCGCATGTGGTCGCGATGGGTTGGCTTGGTGTTGTGAATCAGCATCAGCGCCGTGAGCTGCCACGTCAGCTGCCACGGTGATTTGGGGTGCTCAGACACGAGCGCCCACTGACACCCTTGCCGCTGGACAAGCTTGCACAACTTATCGGACGTCGCCTCTTTGAATGCGGGTATTGGATACCCGACACGCGGCAGGAACACGCGCTGCATGGTTAGTTGGTTGGGGTGGTTAAACTCTCCGCGCTAACTTGAGTACCTTTGTGCTTCCCCAACGAGCTGGTTTGAAGAATTCGTGAAAAGGTTGGTTCGGACCCTCCCACAGGAATGAGCTCTGGCGCTGACCTGGAGGGGTGGGTGGTCGAAAGCCGCCACATCGCGAAGAAGAGCTTGAAACGGAGGACGAACAAGCCTGTGCCGCAGTCCAACTCTTTTGATCTCTTGGCAGAGGTGCCCGAGGACATAGACGCCTGGAGGTCTGAAAAAGTCGCAACACGAGAATTGGATCTCACACAGGTGGGGCAAAAGGCCAGATATTGCTTCAACAGAGGGCATTTGGGTTTTGCATTAGGATTTGTAAGCCTCCAGCGGAATGGCATTAGAAAAAAAGTCGCCCTGTTACAGTGGATGGCCATGGGGCGACCAGCGGAGGCAGCCCTTGTATGAGCGCAGTTTCCCAACATGCAGCAGACAATTGGATGTGAGCAGCGCGCGACGCCGTCTGACGGGTCACACGCGCAAATGTCCGTCGATAGCCGATGGTGCGTTAGCAGCGCTTTGTCACATTCTCAATGGTGGACTCAGCCCAGATTCGCACCGCTTCGACCGCAAATCGCAATGTGTCTGGTGGTCTGTCTCCGCAGCAGCAGCTGCAGAGTTGTTTCCAAGCGCTGAGAACCGTTCGACTTTCGATTTGTTTAACCTGCCGTCATTTACGGCATTTTGAATCGCCCTTCGACCGCCTACCATTCATGCACCGTTGTTCTGGATGATACTATACAACATCACGCGCTTGACGGTCCCAAGGAAAACATTGTTGCGGTTAAGTTACCTCTAACGCTGTTGGTTTCAATTCGGGCGGGCGCGTCCAATACAGCGCTGCACTGAAGCAGGAGATGTAGTTATGTTGCCATTGTGGTAGCTTGATCAATCACAGTTTTCATGAAATTCGCGCCAGCGAGGCCCAGAATTAAGGGAGTTGCCACGCTTCGCAAATTTGATATTGTTAAATTTCTTTAAATTTTTGTTAAATTTTTATTGTTAATATTGTTGAAGAATCGATTTCTGACAACCACGCGCCACTCATACAGTATCCCTAATTGCCAGCTTCTCCGGAACACCAAGGCTTCAACATTCACCCATGTTCTCAACTGTGCCACTTGCATTTTGTCCATGATCGCTATTCCGATCAATTTGACGTATTTTAATGCATTGAAGGTCGTTTTTGAGTCACTTGCGGCACCTCAGCACGGAGAATGAAAGAATAGTGAGGCATCAGGTTTTATAGCATGCTTGCTTGATGTGGTTGTATACGTACGGAGTCGATGCACCGTTCCAATGGTACACGACGATCGTATATGGCACACGAGGTGGAAGGGAATGTATCGTCTGGTTTGCAAACTGTGGTTTCCCTCTGATTAGTTGCACTGTTTTGGACAGGGACATTTCAAGATCGGAGATGCAAAGCCCAAAAGTCGCAACCCTTGGAGATGGGTAAGGCGTGCCATATCAAACAAAGAAATCCTGAAATCATCTGACACTTCTAATGGACAGTCAGTGCCCTGCCTCTGAAAGCGCTGTTTTGTTGACTGACATTGGCATTACAAGGCATTGCGTGCGCATTGCAGCAATGGGATAAATCGTCAAATGAACAAATTTGTTCATGAGTGAGCAAATGGAAAAGGACCAAGCGAAAACAACTTTGTTCTTTAAATGAACAAATTTTACCATTAAATGAACAAAGTTGCTCATGCTCCATTTGGAAGGAAATGGTCTGGGGGTGTCTGTTAGCGTGCTTGCGCCTCTGCGAAGAGAGCTTTACTGTTTGGCAGCATGTCAGTACATCACACCAGTGCCTGATCCCCTCAATGCAACCTGTTTGTTGCCCCGCAGATGTGGGTCGTGGGAGGTATCGGGCTGGTGGCAAGCATGGGGCTCATCGGCGCAGCGCGCATCGTGGGCTCGAAGAGAGGTCGAATTTGATCTGCAGCTTTCGGAGACGTGCCGGTGCGAAAGATGCCCTGCGGCGCATTGTGTGCTGGCAGAGGCTGGCGGCAAGTGACGGAATTTGGCGGATGTGTCGCAGAGCGGTGTGTGTGTGATGGATTCTGAGTTGTTTGCTGACGTAAGATAGCGTTTGGAACGGACGGATGGCGGGCGGCTCCTTTTGCCATCCGCAGGCCGCTGGGCAGCGCCGCAGTTTCAGGCTTGTGCATCTGAACTTGTTTTTATCCGCATGATACTCTGTTGATTCCGATTGAGGGGTCGCGAGTGAAATACAGCGGAACGGGCCGATTTTGAACGTTGAGGAGCGAAGGTGAAAGGGGACCGGCTTATGTAATCATTCCAACCCGGCAACCGAGAGTCACCGCCTCATGTTACCCAATCACAATGCAGAAAGCAGACGACCTCCAACTGCTGCTTCTGATGTGCGCAACGGTTGGAACAACTCAGCCTCAGGGCTAGACGGGGTATAGAAGGACAATCAAATCGCGAGGATCGATATTAGAATCCGAAGATGTTGTCTCCAAGGCTCGTGATACCCATAGCTGTACAGCGCAAGTGGCTGACGCGCGTATCCAGTGGCTAAAAGCACCGATAGCAGTCCGCAATCTATCGACATCTACGAGTGGCTTCCCGCATTGGGGCGCTCAAATCCGTGCGCAAGAATGTCCTAATGCCCACCGGACTGTCCAGACCGAACAGCTTCCAAGGCAGGGGTGGAGGAAGTCTGGACTGCCTTCCGCCAGATGAAGCAAACGTCGCCAAGCGATGTAATGGCAAACTGTAAATGTGGGTAAACTGTGCATGCCATCTTCCAGGCCTGCTCATTAGCCCAGCCTCCTTGGGCATTTCCTGGCACTTTGTTGTACCACGTGGGGTACACGGTCAAAGTTTCTACCCATATTCGTCTCCACACTGGGCAACAACCCATTTTGCCAACCCTGTCCCTTCCTACCGAAGTCCAGTCACTCAAGTGGGACGTTTCCTATAGGAATCGCTGTGTGAGGACCTGCATTACCGCAGGGCTTGGGCACCCAGTGCGTGAGCGCTTGTGCTGGCACAGGCCTTGGTGGGTTCACCTATTCGAACATTCGCGGAGGCATCAAAGGTGTGAATTGGGACATGAACAGCTCAGTCTTCAGCCTCAAAGGTTGCGGTCTGGAACGAGGACAATATTTGCATGTGCACCGACGCGGCCCTGATCAGAGCAAAAGAGGGAGGGCCATGGCGCCCCCGCCTGGATGGCTGCAAGCAGGCAGCTGCGCATTGGTTGGTCACACCAGAGTTTCACTCGTAGCGGGACGAGCTCCAGTTCTTCGCTGTGTGGGAGCGGGTTTAATACCCACTGTGCGTTGAAGAACATCAACTCATACTTTTCATTGATGTTTATGCTCCCTGGCGCAACTTCTCCTGAAGGGGTAGGGCAGCACGCAGGCCACGCGCGCGCAGCCCATCAAACGCAGGAATTGCTTCACCATGCTTCTGGTGCCATCAAATGTCAACTCGACAGGTGCTCGCGTAGTGTCCGATGGCAACGCCACAACCACCACCTTGGCTGGATGAAGCTCTGGCCGGGCTTCTCCATTCACCCCTCCATCCACCATAGCCGGGGCTTCATTCCGATGCGACCATTTCTTGCCAGCTGTTTCTTGGCCACCGCCGAGTCCCGTCCTCTGTGCCGTTGAAGCCGCAGTGCCCATCCGGAGCTGCTAAGAATCCTGTTGCACGCCCCGCAGTTCAATCCCAAATCCAAAAAAAGGAATACAAAAAAAAGCTTTCGCGGTGATGAAGAACGGCAGGGTCGAGGAGTGGCAACCCCTGAGACGGCCCCGCAGGAAGGAGCACTCGGCAGCGGACTACAGCGGAGCAAAGGCGCACTCGGGGGTCTGCCACTGAATACAAGGTTGTCTGGTAATGCCATCGGTTCCATATAAGCGGCATCAGCGATGGATTTTCGCCATTTCCCCCGGCCCTCCCAAAGCTGGAGCATGTATTAGCCCCCATTTCTTTTTCTTCAACCTCCCTTCTTCTTCTGCTGACAAGGCCAACATGGGTCAATGGGTCAGTGGTTTAGGTTGAGGGTGCCGAGACGAGAATGGAAAACCACAAAATGACAGAGGGACTAATTTCATGCCCAAAAGTTGCTCCCCACGTCGGCACCACCCTGGCTTGGGCCAGGCCGTTTTGTGGCCCTTCCCAACCGGCCCCGCCCCCTCCCCCCGCACACCCCGTCCCCCCCCACTTTGTCCCGGTTATCCCCTGCCCCCCCGCCTCCTCCCCTCCCTCCTCCCCTCCCCCCTCCCCCCCGCACGGCCGTCCCCGTCGCCGAAGATCGGATCGCCCCAAACCGCGCTCTCCCCTGGGGCCAGCCATTCGATGATGGCGACCTCGACCGCCCTGAGGTCATCCCGCCTGTGTCGATCGGATCGCGGGATCTCCTTCGAGCGGGGACCCGGGGGGCGCGGCTGCCGCACCCGGGCGTGTGCCCAGGACGGCGGCGCGTCGGTGCGGCCAGGCGCCAGGGTGCGGGTCACGGAACCGGTGCGGGTGTACCACGTGCCCAAGGCTCCCAAGGAGGGCACCGACCTGCAGGGCCTGCAGGGGGACGTGGTGGCGGACGTGCGGCAGCACGAGAAGATCGAGCTGTCAGCCAATTTCCCGTGGAAGGTGCGGTTCCAGCTGGAGAGGGAGGACGGCGACAAGCCGACCAATTTCTTCGTGCACATGGTAAGTGGCTTTGCGCGTGGCCCTGCGCCGTGGGCGGCAGACTGGGTGGACTGGGTGTGGATCTGATCGGCGGGCGCGGCAGGTTGCGGCGGTTTTGTCGCTGGTTTGTGTGCCTGCGCTGTGGATGCCAATGCCATTGAGATGATGGGTGGGTGGCATCGGCACTGGAGGTGAGGGTCGCAATGGGCCGCAATCAGAACTCGGGTGCAGCAACGGAATGGAATTCCGTAGCAGGAGATGGGCGATGCTCGCGGCCACGCCTTCGCCACTCTCATGCATCTGTTGCACGTGGCATCGTGGGCTTATACAACAGAAGGGCACGGGGACGTGGCATCCAATTATTGGTCCAGGCCTGCCCAGCTGAAATCTTTGGCCATTTTACAGAAAGTCATGAGCTCTTTAGCAGTTGGCACACCCTAAACCCAATGATAAGCTGCGACAGACCCACATTTTCAATAAAGACCTCGCAATTGTCCTTTAAGGTCAAGGGCTCAGGGGGTTATGCATTGGTGGCCCAGACGAAATTTACTATGTTGTGGAAAATGACGTTTGTGGAAGCTGAAGACACCCCTAAATCAGACCGTCCATGGCGTCATATTCTCCCGATCATCTCATGGCGTTACGGCCCATCCATGCTGATACCAAGTCCAAGAGCAGGGAGAGCAACCAAACGTATTCCAAGAAATCAGAGATATTGTGAAACCAGCGACGGTTGTTGTGGGTTCTCTCAGTGCATGGAACAAACCTCAGCAGATGCAGCAGCACAATGGCGTTTCTAGACTCGCGCATTTCAACGCGAGCTCTGCGATGCACAATATGGCAATGATCAAATGCTCTGTTCATCCCAGCCATGACCAAAGACATCTTGCAGCTGCTCCAGTGACGAATGGATACAGCAAGAACAATGGCAGGTGTATTGATGGCTTATTGCTGGTGCATAAGCATTCTTGCTCATGTTAAGAAATTACATGGGCTGATAGCATTGGATTGTTCCTTTCAATTTGTGTGGCACCGTCCAAAACACGCTGACAAAGTACTGTTCAATACTCCGCGTGCCAGTACTTGCTCTGTGTCAGGCATCGAATGCTTCTCAGATTGCAAGGGACCAAGATTGGAACGTGTGCACAGTTGGATGGGCTGTCAAGAAGCCTGTACAACTGCATGCACCCCACTAGGGAGGCAGAGTTCAGATAGGCAGTTACACAACATCGCCGCCTGGGTGCCACAAGACCTATCGCTGAGAAGGGAACCGCAATGGGAAAAAGTACTGACTGGAAAGGCACACAGAACTGCAACTATTTGTCAAGGGTGTTTCAGACAATTTGTTTTCGATGCGATGGCGCCTGTTTGGTACAGGCGCCATTGCACCACTGTCCTGCTGCTCAGCTAGTCTTCTGAAAATTTGCCACTGCAGGTTTCAGGGATACTCACTACCACTGGCTGTTGCTGTCTGGAATATTTGGAACTATGCCCTTGTGGCCAGGCTTTGGTGCATGCAAGAAGATTCACCAAGCTTCTCTGGCTTTTTGTTGCAGCGAGAAGACGAATTTGAAGTAATTCAGTGAGAAATGGAGATGACCGAAACAACACAAGTCTGATGAGGATGGCAACAACGAGAACCACAGATCTTGGAGGCCAAGGCGCTCTCAAGCTACAGCAAGATTTGTTGTTGAATCAGTTTTGCAATTTTTTCTTGTCATTGGCATCGAATAGGCATGGCTTGTCAGGGGGAAGGTGATGCACACACGACCAGCAATTCTGTAATGTAGTTTGTGTTGGCAACGTGGGCTTCACCACAGCCACCATCGTCCTTTGGAGCGCATGGACGGGTTGGGTAGGAAGGCATGTGGGCTTGGGCAGCACAAAAACCTTTCGGCCTGCAGTGCGGATGAAACCGCATCGCACACCAGCCTACCAAGCAACCCGGCATCAGAGGATGTTGGTGAGCAAATGTGGAACCACAAAGTGCTACGCTTGGGTATGACCACCATCGTGGAGCTGTGCATGAAATCCCCGAAGAAAGGAAGCCCTGGCCACAAAACTCTGGGTACACGACGATAGTGCCTCGCAACGTGTGGCCATTTAACCGTTAAGGTTATGTTACAAGTGTGTTCATTATCTCTTCCTATCCCTTTTCAGCTGCCTTTTTCCTCTTGAGCCGTTCCATGGCACCTACTGCCTCCTGCGCTGCCGGCCTCTTGATGCTTCCAAACACTGCTGCTGGAACTTCCTTTTGTGCCAGCTCCATGTCCTTGCTGCCACCCTCGCCCTCCTCGTCGTCATCATCAACATCGATGTCGATCTCCTCAGGGTTTGGCGCAGACGGACCTGACGAGACAACAATCCTCGAAAATCAGGACACCTGTCCCCCCGTTCCGCGATGCTGGCAAAAGAACACCCCCGTTGTGATTGCCTACTAGGCGCACTGCCACTGCTTATTCAGTGCGCAGTCATGCTCTAGGTCAAATGCGAAAGCCAAAATCTATATACCTGGCCACTACATACCGAAAAGAAGCCCCCAATACTGCAACGCAAAGCAATTGGAGTTCGTCAACCCCCCTACGCAAGGCCCTGCCATCCATCACAGCCGTGTGGAGCGATTGCTTCAACACGGAAGCGGTCATGCTCAACTGCCAGGGCACAGCTGGATGTCAGATCCTTGTTTCCCATCGCCAAAGTCTCAAACGGTCACATAATCGCACGTTTCGGAGTTCAGACTGTTCAAGTGCGGTATCTCAATGCAGGAGCCACCACGCGATACGTTGCATGAAACGCCAAGCGGTAGTGCACCACTTCCACGCACCTGCCTCCCCATCCGCTGCCGCGTCCTTTTCACCCTGCTGGATGACCTCTCCCCTCACAAATCTGCCAAAGAGCCCGGTACCACCCGCCTGCTCTGCGCCGCGCTCAAGGGCAGCCATCTCGTCTTCTTGCTTCAGCTTGCTGGCCACCTGCTGCGAGCCTGCTTCCACAGTGCCTGGACCCGACAAACGGCAAGGGTACTCGTTAAAACTCGTTGCAACCGCTGTAGAACATATTCATTGGCAGAAGATCCATAGCAACTAGCATTGCAACTGGCCCCCAACTGCACGTACAGGTTGACAAACGCAGCCTGGGCGCGCCACCAAGCTGAACACTGACACACAATGATGTCCAGCATGCGTGGCGAATTATGGATTGCAAAGACTGGAATGGCTGTGTCCAGCAAGCCGTCGCCATGCATTTGGTGGCGGACATTCCGATAATGCTGCAACCCGTATGCTGCCTTGCAACCTTGTTGCAACCTGCCGTATCTTGCCTTGCAGCTTTGTTCCAGCTCATTGGCCGGCTGTGGCTAGTCGGATTCTTTGTGGGCTGAGTTCAGAATTCAATGTTTGCATGCACATTACTGCACTGGGAATGAGATGGTACAATTTGCACACTGAGATAGACCCACACAACAACGCCCGCTGTACACGAATATTGTGCTAGGCAGCCCCTGCCGTGTGTGGGCATGCAATACAACACCGACGAGTGGGCGGTAACCGCTTGCTGGCCGTTCGTTTCAAGAAAGCAGTGTCTAGTAATGCCTTCACGCTCGTGGGATACGGTCCAATGCAGCGATGCCATCAGCGCGAAGCAAATGAACGTTGGGAAAACGAACACTGGGGTCCAAGAAATGCTGTGGCAAGACGTTGTGCAAGACGCCTAGGGCGACATGATGCTGCGCCGTTTTCAGTCGCCTGTCCGAGGCAAGGCCCGCCTCAACCATCTGCACTGGCCACCGCATCGAGGAAGGGCAGCGTTGAACTCGATTTGGGCCATCTTGTACTTTTCAATGCTAAACACCGCCTAGCAGACGATGGTGGCACATGAAGACGCTGTGCCGGCACGGGCCTTCACCTGTTGATGGAATGGTCGCCTCGACCGTGGCCATGTTGTAGTGCATTTGGCTGTAGCTCGCCGCCACAGAACGCTTGATGCGCCTCATCTCCATGAACGTGTCCTCGTTGCCGTGCTTCACCTCGAACTGTTTCCACTCCTCCCAGAACGCCTTGTCCACGTTGGGATCGCAGAGGGAGGATGCGTGCACGTATATAGCCCTGGCCCTGTCGATCTCGCCCAGGTTGCGCTCAAGGCCAGCGTACTGGAGGCACATGGCACGGCAGTCGTCGTCTGCCAGGTCGTGGGGAGGGTGGGCTTCGATGGCCATTTCGTAAATCTCACGAACCTGGTGCACAAGAGGGCAGAGCGGATTTCACCATCCACAATCCCTTGACTACATAAGCTCGGTAGGACAACAGGAGCCAGGCACCCACTTAGTGATGAAGGGCAGACATTTTGTGATCTGGTGCAGTTGCGAGCCCATTTCAATTCTTGAATTGCTGTGGGTTGTTGGGGCACTCAGTACTTCCACAATGCTCTGCCAAAACAGCATGTAACTGCATCTGTCAGTGAACCCTTCAACAGGATTGCCCTCCCCTGGCATGCACTGCAGGATGCTGAGAATCTGGGAGAGCAATGTCTACTGGCTACAGTTCGAACAATAGCAAGATAGTTATCCCAGTTGCTGGTCCAAGGACGTCATGGCGACGAGGAAAACCAGGGGCCCCCCACCTTTCCTATGCCAAAGAAGTCTGATGCCCTTGATATGTACAGCTTGTAGACATCCAGGCGTTCTTTCTGTGGCACAGTCTTCACAGCACGTTCGTAGATCGTCATGGCATGCTTGGCCAGGCCGTATTTCTCCTCTAGGGCAGCAAACTGCATGAAAATGGGTTTGGAGTCTGCTGGCGGTGCCTGTGATGCACATGCCCATCCAGTCAGTGTCCAAGGTGCATGTACAAAAAGGCGCAGGTGCACATGGTGTGTACGTCTGTCAGCCGATGACAAACAGACATCAGCAGCTCCAGTGCCATGAACTCCACAAGATCAACTCCCCAAAACAATCCATCGCCCAGCAGCTGGAAGTGTAGTCTGCAACAGGCAACATCGTCAAAGACGATTCACAGCACCACCTCATTTCCACAAGTGGCTATCAATCTAGCAAATTCAGCAACCCTCTCAGCGTCCCCACTACTCGATAGGGGCGATTGAAGCCAGGACAAAAGAGACAGTGATCAGTGGTTCAGTCCCTTTTCTGTCTTTCGCATCTCCCCAAAACACGACGCCACTGTGGGGTATCCGCTGAATGGGAATCTCTTTGTGGCCTTGACAAAACCCTTCTCAAGGTTTTGCACATTGTTGCCAGTACACTTGGATGCATGAACGCTGGGCACTGGCCAACTTACACAGCTTCGACACCAGTAACTTTGCAGCAGATCTGCTGCAAAGGTATGCAGTTGTAAAATCAGACGGTCTTGGGGGCGAATTCAAGATATGTTGCAATTGCTGGGACATGAATAGCCATTCCACAGGCAGTTGCCTGTGTACTGTTTTCATCAGTTATATTTCGCAGTCTCTCTTTTCAACGAAGTTTGAGGAAAAACAATGGAGTTGCCTGAATGGACAACTGAGACATGCACAATTGGCGAATTATAGCCAAGCATGCATTCGTGGAAAGTGCTGCCTTTCACATCTCCCAGATCTCACCTGTTGTAGGGCCTGTTCAAACAGGTCCCTTGCCCTCTCGAGCTTCTGGCCACCATACCGATCCACAAACTGGGTCAGGTATGCCTGCCAAATGTCCCTCACGTGGGGGTACTTGAAGAGAACGACCCCACGTTCGTACACCTGAAAAGAGTCCTCCCAATATTTCTGCTCCTGCAGTGCAGCCAGGCCAGAACAACTTCAGTGCTCAACTGCCAAATGCCAACATGACATGGGATGAAAATATAGCTGCAATTGCCCACATAGACTGAATGGACGGCGACCACTGGCAACAAGGCTGCCAGTAAACGAATACGGCATCAGTGGGTATGTGGAAGACTGGCACGCTGATCACATCGCATTATTCTAATAAGATGATCAGAGCAGCATCATTTTACTACACTTCAATACAAGGACCTCACAATACTTGCCAAAAGAACACCTCAAATCCCCATGTCATCAGGTAGACGAACTTGCACAGGTCCCCAGAACACAACCAGCCCAGGACACAAACAGCCTGGAAAGACATTTTGGCAGCGCACAAAGGTACACACAACAAAGATCTAGTGAATGTTCAGCAGCACTTTTTGGCAACTTGAGCAACAGCAGATTTCCCCCAATAATTGCTTCACTGCAACACAATGTGCATGCAGGAGCCACACTGTACCTGCAAGAACATCGCATAATTCAAAATGATCTGCGGGGTGGCTATCCTGAGTTCAAGGACTCTGTCATACACCGCCCGAGTGGACTCCATGGTTCCCAATGACTCCTCCAGATCCACGAAGAAGCTCCACAGCTTTAGGCTCCTGTACAACCTCTCCTGAACTGGCAGGTTCTTCCGCTGATCCCTTGTCAGCCGCTCCCGCGAACTCTGTGGCGCAGCCGTTGCTCGCCGCATGACCTCCATCGCCCGTTTGAAATTCTGGTGCCTGAGCTCCATCTCAGCCCACTCACACCACACCGATGCCAGATCGTCCACATATTTGTACTGGACCTGGGGGATGGCACATGGAAGGCTCAGATAAAGGGAGTTTTTGGAAATGAGAAGCACGAAATGGGTGCAGGCGCAGCCGTACATTCAACACAGACTATTGGCATCTGCTCCTTCTCTTGAGGTGTCAGCAGCATCGTGCAACACAACTCACCTGAACTGCTTTCTCGAAAATCACACGGGCATTGTGGACATCACCATGCTTCTCATAGTATTTGGCAAAGGAGCACCAAAGAGTGTGCGGTTTTCCCACAGCCTGCAGGAACAGCAGTAATCGCGTCAGACTGACAGCATATAGCACCAGCACATGTCCAGTATGCCACTTAGATAGTTGCCATTTCCCACTGCATGCAACGATTTCACCACCTCTGCAACGAAGGAACCGATTTCAAGTTAAGCTCGACCTACTCGACGCTCAGCAAAAACCTGCCACAAGATAGGCTGGCTTATTAGGTTTTGGCGTCAATGTCGTGTACGAACGACAATCAAACTAGTCGAACAGTAAGGAAGATTGACTCAGTCCAAATTGAGACTCAGCCTGGTCAACCTAGGTATGGGTTAAGTGTTGCAAGTTACGTTGGTCAGGGAGACCCTGGTTTTACTGTGTTGCAGACAGCAAGCAAATTACGATCAAAATGGGGTCTTGCGTTGTGGACAAGGTCAAACTTCCACTGGGTTGGCCAGGCTCTTGTTCGAGCTAGACCAAGATTAACCTCTACACCTAAAACACTTTCCCATCGGGCGGCCCAGGTAATGCCAACGGGATGCCCACTGGAGGTTGTTTGCTATCTGTTGACTAATTCTCACTGCACAACATCTGTGGGTTGTCAGCTTGCCTTTTCGTTCCATGACAGTTTTGACCCCTTGCTTGCATTCTTCTCAATCAGGATCTTCCACTTTACAGGAGAAACGAGGGGACTAGACTTGTACTGGACAGGACAGGATAGGAGTGGCCTTGAGGAGTTGATGCAATGCACATATGCAATCAACCCAAAGATATACACAATCCACACAAGCACAAAAGAGGCAGTAGGAAGTGTGCCCGCAATATATTTTCTCAAGAAACTCCTAATGGCAAGTCAACTAGAATCAGCCAGGACACATAGGATTCACAATCGTTGTGCGATATCTCCATACATCGAGCACTTCATGACTGCTGGGACAGATTATGAGGCCAGGCAATTGGCAACACTTGGGGATCCCAACACAATATGATCTTGTCAGCACCTTGATCAATCACCTCTGCCCTCAAGGGCTTGAGAGTGAAAAGCATGCGCATGAGAACGCACCTTTTGATCATCCACTGTTTTGACTGCCTCCGTGTATGTCAGGATCTGCTTCGTTGGCTGCCCCTCAAAGAGCTTCACTCGCTTGTGCCACTCGTGTACGTTGTGGGGGTTCTGCCGCAGCATTACACTGCTCAGCAGTTCTGGCCGCCGAGACATCAGGCGCTCAAGGCGGGCAATCCTGAGGTGCCAAGCCAAGAAGTGTGAGAAAGGCAAATGCAACCATGCTGAATGGAAAGCAATTGGAGATATTTTTCTCTCCAGAAAGAGACTGGAAACGGAACAAAATCCTATTAGCCAGATGAAATTCTGTGTTTTCTCTTACTCACAGCATATGTGCTCACCACGGAAACCAGCCAGCACTTTGGACAGCAGCGAACAGTAAAAAGGTAGGAAAAAGAAACAGACATTGCAGAAACAGAGACAGAAGTTGCAGAAGCAGAAACAGAAATTGCAGTCAGTCTGAATTCCTGGGACCACTGGATTCCACAAAATCCATTTCATCTGAGTATCTTCAACAAGTGATCCTTTCCACATCCCAGCTGCATTTGGAACCCTGCAACGAATAGCATTCGGACTGTTTGCCATCTCACTTGTCCCATCTCACTTGAAACACCATTTCATGCATCGTTGCACCGGGCACTTAACAGTGTGCATTTGGGAGAATCGACAGCACAACCCTCCCACCTCAGATCAAGGTCATTGCCATCATCTTTGAGAAGAAAGTCAGTACCGATGTCTTCCTGGTCATCCTCTTCCTCAATGTCAAGGTGTGCCATCTTAGCATTGATAAGACTCTCTTCGAACTGAGCAAGTGCATCGAATATGAGACTAAAATCTCTCACAGTGACAACGCTCGCCAGGCCCTCCTCATAAATATCCCTCGCCTTTTCAAACATGGACTCTCCCTGCCGAATGAAATAGTCTGCCAGTGACGTCCACAACCGGCCGACCTGCAACAACAGTCAGGACCAGCACATGAGCCGCACAGTGCACAGTGCACAGTGCACAGTAATGGCCTTGAGGTAGTAGCAACAAACCATTGGCGAAGAACTTGTGGCACATCAAAATTTATCCAATTAGGCAATCATGGTCAACCCAAGGAGGTAAACCCCTCGTCGAACTTGCCAACCATGTGGATAATCTTGTTGCACACCAGTGCACAAACCCAAGACGCACAAACAGCAACGGCATTTGCGTCATGGCCACTCTGAGAGCAACAGATACAAGACAGCCATGAGCAACCGTTGTTGTCATCAAATCAGACTGCATGGAGCACCAGCATGGAAAGTATCATGCATCCATCCCCTACTAGCAGAACTCCAATTTGTCCACAACTTTGATCCTCATCCAAAGCGGAGGTCATCAGCAGTGGCACTGCACGTGTGGCATCCATTGGCCCACACCTTGGACGGGAGTTACCAACACCACGCAGGGGGCTTTCAAGGCACACGTCCATTGGCCGGCTGTGTGGGCAGGTCAGCAGGTGTCTCTGCATGAGGGTCACAGCCATGACCTTACCTCGTCTGTGAACTTTCTAATGCCACCCCGAATGATGGCTTCAACCTTGATGGAGGCAACGTCCTCGGGGTGTTTGGTGACGATGTCGCACAGCTCCAGCCACAGTTGATGCTTGCTCTTGCCCTCCAACGAACGGAACATATCATCGTTCACAACTTCTGCCAGCTTTTGTGCAGCCTCTCCCCAGCTTTCCTGTATGCACCACATTGGGGTCTGTCAAAGATCAACTTGCGCCCACACTGCCAGCACAACACGGCACGATTGTGGCAGAACTGTGGGACTGCGGCCTTGCAGATATCGATGCAAGCTTTTGGCCTGTTGCGCAAATCTGCATCAGTATGAACTTGCTGCTTGAAACACGCAACAACGCCAAACCTGACTAATGGCACAGCAGAAAAAGCCTTCAACAGCACAGGCATTGCTCTGCGGACAGTTTCTCTGTAAGCAGCTGATGACGAACAGGTGACCCTGTGAATAGACACCCTGCACTGGACATCAGTGGGCAAAAAGGGCTTTGAAATCAAAGCCATTGCTGAGTTTTGCTATTGACATTAGTCAGCCAAGTTGTAGATTCGCCCAAAGCACAGCAGCCATGCAGAGTGACACCCATCGTACCTGTGACTTCAAATATGCTATGAATTCCTCCGTGTGAGAGGGCTCCAACTTTAGGTAGCGACGATACACCCGTAACGCCGTTTCCACAGGTATCCCTGGCTGCCGGATGAATTCCTGCAACAACGATGAACTCAGTATCTACTCTTTGTATCTGAATAAGACCTTGTATGGACCACATCAAACTGGAAGACAATTCAGCGAATCAGCAAACAGCATACAGCACAAGGGGAGCTAACAATACATTGCTCAGAAGGACAAGGGATGATTTCAGCGGCGAACAGAAACGAAACAGCAGTTGGCTTTCTGCCTAAATGCATAATGGTTCAGGATGAGGCTCCGACAGTTTCCTCACCAGGTACAGTTGCCAGATTCTATCATGTTGAGTGATCGGGATTGCTGCCAATGCCCTGTCGAATGCCCTTCTCGTGTGTGTGACCAGCTTCTGCTCCATCAAGAGTGTCAGGTACTCCAGCCATATGCGGGGCATTTTGTGCATCGTCACAAGGGCCCTCTCAAAAGTGTTGCTCAGGGCTTCCATGGCTGGGTTTGTGATGCTGAGCCCCCGTACTGCCAGCTTCCGCTCTTGCAGGTACGCATGCCACAACTGAAAGCAGACACAGCCACCTCGCGATCGGAATTATGCCTGACAAAAGAAAATCCTCTGTCTGTACGTGACAGCCAGCCAAATGGTGGCCATGCACGACAAGCTCACGTTTTGTGCTGTGCCTGCCTGCACATTGGGTGGCTCAGAAAGCAGAAGAAGATCTGGTCCTCAACATTCCTCTATATATCTTCATTCAGACACTGTGTGGATGGACATTATGAGTTTGCCACACTTGCCGTGGAGCAGGATTTCAATCGGCTGGCGTTATATCACCCCACAGGATCTCACATCCCAGGTTGTACCTGACGTTATGCACTATCGTGCTCATTAAATTAGACATTAACTTGAGTCTATGCATAGATGCACGTTGAGATATCAGCTTGTCTAGATATCTGCATCACTCTTCAACTTCACATTGGGTTCAGGCATCGTACTGATGGACTATTGCATATCTGTGGCCCTGATGGGGGCTTTGGCCATCAAAGGCACATATAACCAAAGAATCCTACTCTGTCACGGACAACAGCAAGGCATGATGGCATTAATGCGATGCTGTACCAGGGTATTTGTGATCAATTCTGGGCCAGGCTGCCAGCACTGCATGATAGAGCCCTTCCAAGAAAGATCCAACATCACCTTGTTGGCAAATAGACAACTTCTGACTAAGATCTACTCTTTCTACAGGAGGTAGCCTCCTGCCCATCTCCGATCCATGCACCTGTGTGCTTGGCAGCGAAGAAAGCAGCAGGAAACACAACATGGTATCATTGGCACACCTGTGGCTGTTACACGGGCACTTGCACTGATGCAAGGTGCTTTTCGCCAGCCAAGTTGCAAGATGTGTTTACTCAAAGTCTGAAGCCAAGCAGTGGGCCACTCTTGGCCAAGTTTCGCTGCCATCTAGAACGCCTGGCATGAGACGTATTCCAGACAAGAGAACCCTGCTCTGTCCCATTCCTACAGGCTTCACAAGACCCGCCTTTCCAAGCAGGCAGTGCTGGTCCACAACTTGGTGAACACACGTGTGCCACCCCAAAAATGCTCGTTCAACAACATGACTGCAGCGCCAATCGCATCAACCCGCCGATCAGGTGCTGTCGATCGCGCTAACCACACGCCCTTGAGGCTGCCGATGACCAGTGGGTTCGCCGGCGAGCCCAGCGACACGGCCACACGACACTGGCCGCATCATTCACCCCACCTTGTAGCTCCCTGGCAGCGCCTTCACAGCTCGCTCGTACAGGAGGTACCGCCGCTTGGCGGGCGCGTGCTTGCGCGCCCCAATATACCGCCACCACAGCTTCATGGAATACGGGTTCCTGAGCAGCTCCTCCTCGTAGAGGAGGTCATCCTCCCCAGGCATGAGGTCGTCGACGTCATCCTGCGGCTGCGACGCCGTCATGGTGGACCCGAGGGGTGCGCCCGGCACCCCAGCGGGGAGCGACGTGGACGTGTCCGCGGCTCTCCCCACCCGGCGCACACGGCAAGGAGACTTGTTCGGCCGATATGACTAACAGCTTTCATTCAGTAGGTGCAAAATTGCATTGAATGAAAATGCGGTGTTAATGAATCCAGATTCAAGATCGCGCTGTGTGCCGGCCGCGGAATGGCCGGCGAATTACCGCCCGCCACCGCGAAGTATGTTGTGATAAGTTGCATCGCTTACGTCTTCCCCGTGAAAGTTGGAAAAACCTTGAAGTGAAACACACACCACCACACCGAGGCTCCTGGGTTGGAATGGCAGTTGCTTACGCCGAGCTGTTCACAGGTCGCCATGCAGCGGTGGTCACACAACAAGCTGCCACGCTCGGGCATGCCACAGCATGATTTCATGATCGCATTGCTGCCCTGCGTGTGCTGATGCTGTGTACTTGCCGATCCTTGAAATTTCGGTTGTGCTTTCATTGGTCGAGAAATTGGAAACTGCTGTCTGACGAACGCAAAGGCAGCACCGTCGCGTCCATTGCCCATGTCCAGGAATTTGATAACCCAGAGTAATAGAGTCGTGAGCAGGGCGGTGTGAATCAGTGCCTGCGCCCTGCTGTACTGGATGCATGTATTAATCCAAAAGTACACACTTGGCCCAAACCCTCCCCAAGAATACGCCGCAACCTCCCAGGGTTTTACAGCACTGTAGGTGCAAGGTTGGCATGAATGCAAACCAAAATGGAGTTGTTAGTGGGGGAAGTTATCCTCAATTCTGCTGCACCCCTTCCAGGCCTCACAACCGTTGCCACAAATTTGAATTGAAATAATCACAGAGGAAGCACTGCTGCCTTTCTGAGTGGAGCTGGAGTTGTACAAATCCAATCACGTTCGTCCGATTCACTCACTGTCGTATCGACAGTAGCAGTACAGCACATTCAATCCTGAGTTTGCACAGCTGGTCTACAATTATTTATCGCTCCTCAAAGTCTGCGTTCAGCAAGAACGACCGATGCCCAAAGCCCATGCATGGCAATGGCGCCCAATGGACCGCACAAAATTGTGATGTGATTTGACCTGTTGAGCGTCGCCCTCGGGGTGAATTGAATGAGGGAACCGCAATTTTGGGAAATGAGGGGAGTTTGAACGGGTCAACTGTTGTGCATACCGGTTGTGCTGGTAAGAAATAATTCGTCTCTCTCTTGACGATCACAGATGGATGTATTGCCACTTGCCCAGAATGTTGACCCTCTTCATTGCTCCATTTTTTGCCATAGGGCACACCAATCTGGCGACCCTGAACCCAAGCACAGTGGTACCACAGTGCGCCATGGTCCATCTTCAGAAAAGCCAGTCAATCATTGTCCACTGTCGTCCCATTGACCATCGCAACCCCATCACAAACAACCCCCCTCCCCCCCTCCCTTAAAAGAGTGCACGATGATGTTAACCAACACGGCACAATTTCCCAAGCACGATCGCTGACAGAAACCACGATGCGTGTTGCAGAAATCCCCTATCGTCAAAGTGCATTGCTATTGGGCCTTCAACAACAGCCTGACGTTGTGCATCACTTCCTGCCCCAATCTAAACTACGGCAGGGCAGATCCAGCCCTGATCGCCTGGGCTACTCCCGACTGTGCGGTGTTGTTGCTGTATCGCTCGTATATTGCAATAAGCTTGTTGTAATCACAAGTCGTCGCCTTAAAGCTTGGAGCACGTTGGACTGCATCCCACCACGTTCGGAATCTGACGTACTCCTTGGTGTCAGGCAACTTGAATTGTCTATAATGCTCCAAGACTCCGAATCTCCAGGCGAACGGTGCCAGGGCGATGTCCACCACACCCAGAGAATCGCCCATGAAGAAGTCGGTGTCCGGTGCCATCGCAGCGGAAATGTCCTGAACAAATGCAATCAGGCAATCTGCCTTGTTGCCGTCGCACAGCCTGGTGCAGCATAACTCCTGCACGATGGCTCGTTTGCGGATTACACCCCCAGTGTATGACATCAATTACACAACGGCAGTCGTTTGTTCTTTTTGCGCCCGGACATCAAATCACAATTCAGGAGCTGTGGTTCGATGACCATCAAATCCACACCACTGGAGTGGCCCGGATGCCACGCGAGCTCAGAGAAAATTGGCCGTGCCAGTTTTCGCCTTGGCACCGTGGATCATGCGTCAGGACCATTACCTCAATGACGGACTAATCTTCACAATTCTACGGCACTACAGACCGGCATGAAATTAGTATCTCTGTCCTTTCCGTGAAGATCCCTTATTGTTTCGACACCCTAAACTCTAAAACCACTGACTCACTGACCCACTGACCCACGTTGGCCTTGTCAGCGGAAGAAGAAGGGATCTCCACGGAAAAGACAGAGGCGCTATTATATTCCTCCCTCAACCGCTCCGGAACTCCATCAGCACGTTCGGCAATTCACCTTAACGTGGCCCAGCATTTCCGCGCAGTGCTTGGCCTGGTCTGCGGCGTCCTGGGACTGCAGGATCCTGTAGAAGCATGGCACGACCCGCCGTCCCACGAAGTCCACCCAGATCCTGGCCACCGCCCTGCCGTGCGCCGACGCCGGCAGCAGCGCCGGCCTCCCCTCGCCCCGCCAGGCGTCCTCCGCGAACTCCACGCACACCGTGGACTCGTACACGCAATCCCCATTCGCGCACTTGATGGCGGGCACCAATCCCCGGGGGTTCACCGCCAGGAACTCCGCCGTCTTGTCGTACGGGTCGATCTCCACCAATTCGTACGGAGCGCGCTTCTCCTCAAGGACCATCCACGCGCGCTGGGCGAATGGGCAGAACCAGGCGCTGTAAAGTTTCACGCCACCGATTGCCGCGTCCTCCGTCTGGGCAGCCATCGCCCCCCGCCCGCCCGCCGCGGTGTTGGACGCCAACGCGGGCGGCTAGAGTGGCGCCGGAGCGCAGATGCCTGCCGCTGACAAGCTCCCACGAGACAGCCACGCCAAGGGCAGACCATCCGCTTGTGCGGTTATTCGCAATAAATTCATGTTGGGAGGGAATTGGGGGAAAAAACAGTGCCAGCAGGACGCCGAAACCTAAAAATACCGAATTGGGGTATCGGGCGTGTTTGGTGGCAGCACGTTCAGGACAGCGTCCCTGCCCAGAGGAGCCGTACTGAGGGCCGCCACGACACTACGGCGCTGAGGAATTGTAGGCCTTCGCTGCCGCGCGACCGAGCCGCCTGCGCCCACGTGCCCTTCGAGTACCTCACCTACTTCTTCGAGAACTGCTCGGTGGCAGCCGGCAAAAAGAAAAGACAGCACCTCGAGAAATTTCGACAGAAACACGTGCCGGTGAACAGCGAGGACAGCTTCGCAATCTACCGCCTCATCCTGCCAGCGGTAGGCCGCCATCTCTCGCCGTCGCCCCGTCGCCCAGCTCGGCGATCCGCGCCATCGCCCGTTTCCTTGCCGTCCCCTGACCCCCCAGCTTCAAATCAAACGACCAAAACCGCCAATGCCCCAAAGACACGCCACATCTCCCTGCGATCCTGGCCATTTTCCGGGAATCACCTCTTTACGATCATCTTAACCTCGGCAAGTTGGACTAACCAACGTAAAACTACTTGAAGGCCAACTAATGTCCAGGCATACCTTCTGAACCCCAAGACATCCATGGACGCGGCTCTGGAAAAAGGAAGAAAGTCCTGGCAGGCGAGAGGGAGTGGGGGCCATGCCATGCTTAAGCGCGCAGGGCATGCGAGCAGTGTGCCTGGTAAAGTACCTAGTAGCTGCGGCCTTAACTGGGTGAATTTATCGCAATACCCCCACTGCCAAGCACGCAGCACCCGGCTGCCAATATGACAATGTGCTCCACATAGCCAATAAAACAATCTTTAGTAGTATTTCCTCCGTACTGCCACCATGGCCTAATTGGACAATCTTGATCGTGAGTGTGTTGAGCCGTTTGGGCACATGTCGTCCAGCACCTTGCTTTCCTTCAAGTGTTGCATGGTAGATGACAGCAATAAAGGAATTAGCCAAACTGCCATCACACGAGATATCGACCATTGGCACCTGTTGGGTTGCATTGCAGTACCTATTTCGAAAGCACTGCGGCCTTCAAGAAGACAGCCACGAGGCCCGCCAACACACAATCGGCGAAATAAACCAGCAGCTGAGCGAAATTGCGGATGAGGAGGACCTCAATGGCAAAGTGCTGCGGCTCCGGTGGCTGGTCACACACACAACCGCCAAGCAGATGAAGTGGATAATTCAAATAATTCTCAAAGACATGAAGGTAATTTCTGGACGGAGTGATTCCTGCGCCATGCTGGCGATTCAGCTTCTGCTTTTGCGTGAAAGAAGATGTGCATGCAGCCTTTTCGAGCAAAATTGCGCTGAAGGCCAAACTACGCAGGGTTGAGTCGTGTCGGCACTGGCTCAGGGTAGGAACAATCCTGTCAATGTTTAGAATGGCAAACATTTCTTACGTCATAACGGCGCTTGGAGGTTTTCAAGCGAACTTTCAGACACTCGATGCTTACCAGCAGCGGCAGGCGTCGGAAACGGTCGGGAGAAAAAATATGTTGTGCCATCTGGGGTAAATTTGCATTTAAACGATGGCTGAATTGCGGGCATTGTGCGACTGGACAGATTGGCATCTCGGAAAAGTCGGTGTTCAAAGATTTTCACCCTGACGCTGAAGACATGTACAATGTGACTATGGACCTTGAGAGGGTGTGCAAGGAGCTGAGAGATCCGTCGAAGAGAATGAAAAGAAAGGTGATTTTCCTCTGCCTGCAGTCATGGAATGACTGTGAGCTGCAGGCAATGGCTCCATGGCCACGGCGAACGGGCCAATACTATTCCTTTCGCCGCCATGCGGGCGTGCTTCTTTCCTTGATACTCTTCCATTGGGCTGGAAGATCGCTGCCAGAATTTGGCATGTACTAAAGAGCGTTAAATCATTCTTCGAAAAAACTTGGTGCACGAGACAGAAAACCATTGATTTCAAAATGCAGCAGCATCTGCGACGCTGCGCCATTTAGCTGGCTGCATAGCCTGGGCCTCGCCGAGGGCAATGTCGTCGTTTAGGGCCATTCACAGTCCGCTGGACGGTCACGCGGTCCTGGTCACAGTCGCGAGGTCAAGGGGCTCCAGGCTTGCCGAGTCGGAACATAGCCGTTGAATTCCAGCTGATATCAGTGCTGTGCGCACTGATCGCGATGCCCAACTTGTCCCCGAGAACGCGAACCAAGTCGGGGGAACGCGGAGGAGATCTTCGCTGTGACTGCAGCACGGGGGAGATTTTCAGGTTTCTCCGTGTGCGCGTCAGGACGTCGAGCCTGGGAATGCGGCGAGGCCGCAGCTTGCAAAGGCGGCCCGTTCTCCTGAAGCGGCGTTTAAGGAGCTCAAGGGCAAGGCGTTCGTCACAGAAATAAAGTTCGATGGGGAAAGGGTGCAGGTGAGGGAAGAATGCCTTGCACCTATAGCGGTATCCATTTGCACAGTTGTGGCGATCCACTTCAATTGTCAACGGGCAACAGCGTATGCAACGTATACGTTGCATCCGCTCTTGCCTGTTGACAGTGGAATCGGTTCGCCACACATACTGAAATGCGTAGAGGGGTGCACTGAGTGGCCCGTGGTACATACTCTTGCCTGTTGACAGTTGAAGTGGGTCGCCATACGTCCGCCTATGTAGGCGTTGGGGAGAGATTCGTTCCAGCCACGAAAAATCTGTTACTCTTGCGTCGAGCTTCGCGTTTGCCATGCGCGCCACGCGTATGCAAATTGAGTCAAATGCGCATTACGTAAACATAAAACCATTGCATAATCAATGACATACTCCGTATCTTTCAGCAGTGGATTGCATGCGATTGCAATTGTGTGAATTTGGCGAACTCACATCCGTATACGCAATGCGCATATGGAATTGCGCATGGCATACGTTCCCACTGCTGTCTCTGGTTGCCTGACTGCAGCTCCACCGCGATGGCGATGAATTCTGGTATTTTAGTCGCAGAGGTCTGGAGCGCAGCTCGGGAGGGATGTTCGACGTGTTCGGTGCGGTTGCCAGGAGGCAAATTAAGTGGAAACGTTGCATCCTCGACGGGGAGATGATTGTGTGGAATGCCAGGGGGTGAGCGAGTCACTTGTCCCTGTCATGCTGCTACGAATGGCCAATCGAAGGCCTGTTTGAGGCGCAGAAGGGCTGCGAGCACGCTCTGGTGGTATTGGAGACTGGACACCGATGTCAGTCAGCGCGAACAAGGCGCGAAGTGTAGCCCTTGTCACCCGTAGTGGAAGTTGTTTGTGAAGGCGTTGCGCACGAACGCAGTGGCGCAAGGCGGAACATGTGCACGTGTGTGCGGATGTTGAAACGCAAGTTCGTGTTTGGAGTTTTGGTGCCCCGAAGGGCTATATCTGGGCATGTCTTTGCACGATAAATAACTGGCATCAGTGCTTCAGTAAACTCCCATTATACACGACTTTGACCTTTCTTTTCTCGTGCGATACTGCCGAACATCTTGCACAGCCTTAAGTCGCGAATTTCAGCCGGACTGACCGCTTGATAGCTCATATCAGGATGGTTGACCTTGTATTGGGGACTGCTTTCCGCCGGTGTGCGTCATATTGTCTCTCTCACTCTCAAACTCTGAAAATGGATTCGCTGCATCGCATATGAAACCAACCATCTGCGTGCAGGAAATATTTTGAGCCCTTTGGCACGCTTCGGTCGACGCTCCTCGCCGGGCGCAGCGGCGCTGCAGGCGACGACGTGCTTGCGGCACAGGTGGGAGAGGGACTCGTAGCCATGGCAGATTATGAGGCGCCACAAATCAAAGACATCCGCATCGTCTTCGTGGCGTTCGATGTACTCTACAGCATCGATCAGAGCGTCATCACGAGGCCACTCAAGGCAAGGATGGAACTGCTCACCATGCAATGACATCAACGTGCATATTTGCAGTGTGCGTTCATGTAGACTGTGCGAAAACCGTAGTTTTGCTCGGGATGCAGATACGATCGAACATTCAAATACTACGCACACCCACTGCCCCAGTAAAGAGAAGTAGAGTATGAGGCGGCGGTGACAACATCGTGAAGCTGGTCACAGGAACGGCAGCGGCTGCTTCGTGAAGCCTTCTTCCCCGTCCCTGAAGAAGGGGTGCGCATTGGCTCAAGCGGGCTCTTCGGCCTCATTGCGCCCCTCCTTCCGGATGTGCCCGTCCTCGGGGGCCAAGTGCTGTCGAAAGTTGGTCACACCCTGTCCGACATGAACGACATGTACGAAATCTCCATCGATCGAAAGGTGAGCCCGCGCTCGACAGGCGGGAGTTGCCATGGTGACATTCTCAAGGCCTTTCCGTGGCATGTGAGCCATTTGCTTTCGCACCCCGCTGCCGCTCTTTTCTGAGACTCTGCGTTGCTGCAGTCTGCGCGCCAATTTGGCATGGACTGGCTTCTGCCACAAACAAGCATACGCGCAAGTGAATGTCGTTGATGCTGCTCGCTTTGGGTGCTTCGGCCAACGGGCACGTTGCGCGTGAACCAGCTTTATGTTGTCACATTCTTTGAGTAAGCAATGTTCGCGCGTTGATGCCAAGCCAGCCGCCCAACACGTCACCAGCAGGAAGCCGTGTGACGCAATGCCTGCAACAGTTTCCTGCAGACGGGATAACGCATGTATTCCACGTCTTCTCTCCTACACGACCTACTGTCGGTACCACACACAGCGGCAGTGAGGAAGCTCACACTGTGGGCCTTCGGTGTTCTGCAAATTCTGCATCCTGCCGTCCCCGAAGCCCGTTAATTTCTGCGGCAATGGCGGATGTGTGGCATGCGCCGCTGTCCTATGGCCGCTTGGTACGACTGCTGCTTCCGCAAGTATCGCATGATTTGGCTCCCTGTGCGTGAAAATATGTGAGCGTGGATCCCAGGAGGAAGGAATTGTGTTGAAGTCCCTGGACTCGCAGTGGAAGACAAATGATCGAAGTTCCGCCTGGCTGAAAATAAAGCCGGAGTACCTGGCCAACCATGAGGTGGACGCGGTCATCATCGGCGCCGATTATGGCACAGGAAGGCGGGGAGGGAAGCTTTCAGAGTACCTGCTGGGCTTAGCGAGCCTTCCATCGAGGGCGAGCCGCAAGGTGCCGTCCACGTTTGTCACATTTTGCAGGTGGGGGCAGTCGAAGCTGAACTCCGCTCAGCGGCGGATCTCAAAGCGGACTCGGTATCTTTGTGTCCGAGCTCGGTACTGTGTGCCAACCCTCGGAGCTCGCATTGTCATTACTGTGAACTGATTGCCGGTAGAGATTAAATGTGTTCCCCCATCATTCTTATGCATGCACTATCCAATGGTTTGATGCATCGGGAAGAGGCACTGGTCGAAGCAGCTCATGAAGCAATACTTTGTGTGTGCAGCCGCACGATATCGCACCGTTAGAAGCTTGTCGCATACCGATACTTGATTCTGAATAGTTTGCGGGCTTGGGCGCAGATGGGAATTGCTCGGCGCTTGTAATGCTGTGGCATTATCATGCACGCGATGTCGCCAAGCACTTTTTCCGCTGCAGGGTCGGGACGGGCGTCAGCGGCGCCGAGCGGGAGGCGATCGAATCAAAGCTGAAGTCCAATCTGGTGGGATCGGACCGCCCGCCCCCCAGGCATTATCGGACCACCGGCCGCCCGAAAGAACGGCCAGACGTGTGGGTGGCAGACCCGCTGAAGTCTGTGGTCCTCCAAGTTAAGGCCGAAATTCGCACAATTGTCAGCCGCGAGTTCGCGACCAAGCACAGCCTGAGGTTCCCCCGAGTGGACAGGGTGCGGTGGGACAAGAGCCCCGCGGACGTCATGACCGAGCAGGAGCTGGACCAAATCGTCGAAAAGCATCAGGGGTCCCTTGCAGGTGATCACGCGCAAGTGAGCGGTGTGCTGGTCGTGTGCGGGTTGGCGTTTTGTGTGCGAGTTTGTTTGTTTGTTTCTTCCTTACATGGATGCATCGACATGACGTCACGGCATCGGTCAATGTAGCGAACCACTCAATGTACGAAGGGCGCGTCCAGGCCCAATTCTAGAACCGAAAGCACGCCTCTAATGGCGGCCCCTGCTGCCACCGAACCCCAGGAAACTCCCCCACAAAACAAGAGAAAATATCTGCGAGCCAATTGTGTGCAGGTGAACAGTGCGCTGTTCGCAAGTCGATTCTTGAGGCGATTCGCGAACAGGTGCGATGGCGCTCGGTAAGTCCAGGAGCGTGCCGTGACGCTGTGGGTTGCCGCTCGGCATGTGGCCCCTCTGCTTCGAAAGCGCGCGGTCACGCGGGTCCGCGTGGCAAGGGGGTGACTAATCATCGCAGGAGTCTGCAACACGTTCTCCCTTTCCAGTTGCACATTAAATTCCTCAAAGGGAGCGATGGACGCCCGGCGATAGGCAACTCTGCCAACTGTTTCGGGCTCTGCTGGGGTGTGCAGCGCAGAACGCCATGGGCTGCTATCATAGGCTTGCTGCCATGGGACTCCTGTTGTGGGGAGAATGTGTACCGCTCATGGAAGCACGCCAATTGACGGTGGCAGTTCATGACGCCATAGTTCCGTGCTCGATGCATCAAAGCAGCTGCTCTGGAGTCCTTCTATGTTCGCTCCAGAACCGTTCGCCGTGCTTGCGGCGCACGTACTGGAATGCGACAGGTTGTCTGCAAGTGTGGGAAGCTACGGGCAGATTTCAAGTAATTCTGTTCAATTAGTTGTCTTGGGTCGGTTGAGTGCAGCTTCCCTGAGATTGCGACGCTTACTCGTTGCATTGCGTTGTGCAGAAGGTAAAGTTGCACCTGGCAAAGAGGATGCCGCGAAGAAACGCAAAGGATTTTCGCCTCAAAAAGCAACAAGATCAGCAATTGTTCAACACTTCCTTCCGGCCGATGTCTCAGGTGAGGCCTCGTATCTCGGGCCCGGCTTAAAGGCGCAGAGAGCCGTGGACGTCAAGTTGACAGGGCGCCGGTCAGCGCACGTACGAGACGCGTAGAAGCTGACCGCTCCGTCACCCGTCCGCCATTCGTGAGTCTCTCGGAACTTGGCGCATATGAATCTGGTTTGTGCGTCGTCGCCAGCGTTTCTCAACGCATACATCGCACGTCCAAGCTCATGCAAGGCGATCACGGGCCATCGCTCAAACAGCATTGTTTGCGTACGAGGTGTTCGTTTGGAGCCGTGTGCAGACCAACTGCCTGAATTGTGAGTTGGGGACAGGTCCTCGTGGTTTGCTTTAGGCAGCAGGGCTGCCATAGGCATGTCTGTGCCTGCGAATTCCCAGCTTGGCATTTCCTCTAGCATTGAATCAAAGCCGTATCATTACACATGCTAGCCTTCTTTTTCTTTGCAGCGCACGTGATTTCAACAGCTATGCATCGTTGTGCACATTATATGCTTGCACACCGACTGTTGATGATGAGTCCTTCAACATCTTCTCAGGTGGATGAGAGATTGTGATCAATAAACGCATTCGAAGACAATCTCACCTTGTGCATGGAACCTGGAAGAACAACAAGTTTGTATTACCAACACAACGGCAACTTGTTATCATGTTATTTTTGGTTTGTTTATGTGTTTATTTTTTCAATTATTCATCTACTTATTTACTTACCAAATGACCACCTTTGCATCTTGGACAGCCAGGCACATGATTGAGAATACTTGCGTTTCGGACTCAACAACAATCATCGTGCAGATTCTCTACAATCTTTTTGGGCAGTCAACGCTGTCCAAACTGAGGAAAAAGACACTCATGAAAGACATCTGTGTCGTTTCCGAAGCAACGTATTCGTATTTGGTGGAGCGCCGGGGCGGGGGGTCAATGGAATGAACCCCGCATTTGGATCGGTGCACTCCGCTTCCGATAAACTGCTACAGATGCGGAAAACTTCTTGTCGGGTGAGCGCCTGTCGACCGTGGCAAGTCAGTGCGCTGAGCCGCACCGATGGGGTGGCGCTCGATGTCAGCCCATTATGAAGACCTCAGCTTCTACAAAAGGCATGTTCAACAGTTGCCACTCTCTATCAACGCTTCCCCGGCCTTTGAAACCTCCGGAGCGTGTCTTGCAGGTGTGGCGGTGGAGTCCGATGTTCTGGCCGGATCGGCGGTTTGTTTTCTTGACTATGGCAAGCACAAAAAACACGAGCTGGAGGCGATCGTGCGTCGGCTTGGGGGCAAGGTCTTCATGAATATCGTACCTGCCGTCAAGTATGTGTTTGGCCAGGACGTCGACAGCTACAAAATGAAATCCGCGGTGCGAGCTGAGAAGGCAGACATACTGTCGATTGACTGGCTTCTCGAATGTGCCTCCAAGGGAGGGCGTGTGCCGTTACAGCCGAGGCACTACATCTATCTGGCTCCTCAGGTGCGTGAGTGCGGCAAATCCCGTGTCAGCCACGTGCTCTTTTGCGGAGCACACGACCAATCACCCAACCGTTTCGCTTCCAGAGACGATGGATGTCGCGGGCCGCACACATGTCAACAGGGGTATGCTGTGCTTGTCCTGCGAATGTCCTGCGCATCTAATCGGCCATGACTGTTTTCTGTGAACGCCAACAGGGAAATGGCGAAAACGCAGTTGAGCGCTTTTTCGAGCGCTCAGACGCGCGGTTTTCCCACAGAGATGTCCGCGCCATGTTGGAGCGGCACTTGACATCGGACGCGGCGGACAGACTCCTATCCCAGGTGCCCTTTGGCGAGGTCGTGGCTCCCCTCGATGAGGCGGGCCTGCTGGACGACGATCGGGCCATCTTCTGGGGATGCTGCATGTGCTTTGTCGATGCCATCGAGCCAGCCACCGATGGCCCCCCAAGCAGGGAGGCGGTACCCGGACCGTTCCTGCATGGAGTCGCCGAGGCTGCGAGGGCGACGGCTCCAGGGTGGAGGTGGCGCCGTTGGTGGGAATGGGAGAAGCTGAAGATAGAGGTGCGGCTTTCCTGCATTGTCCGTGCTTTGAAGCACGCAGTGCATCAATTAATGAACCAGTCTATCAGTCAGTTAATCAGTCAATCAATCAAACAGTCAGTGCATCCTTGCGGGCTCACAAAAGTGCAAGAAGAACGCACCACTGTGCCCTGCTAGCGTCTCCACCATTCAGGGTTATGTAGCGCGTCACCTAATGCAACACGAAACAATCAATCAACCACTCAATCAATCAGTCAATCAAACAGCCAACCAATTGATCAATCAGTAGTGTTTGTTGCACTGCATCCGTGCCTCTCGTCACGGTATTGGATGAGTGCTAGATCTCGTTGACGCGAGACAGCCACTTAAATTGCGTTGCCCTCCAGTGATATTCACATTGTTGAGAAGGTAGCGTCGACTCAGTAATGAAGAGTGCCGGCACAGCTCGCCTGTGGCCTTGGCAATGAAAGGGGTTGTCGCACGCCTGCCGAAGGTGAGGCTGCGCGGGAGCCAGCTGTCTTCCGCACTGGTGAAGGGCGTCACGCACCTGGTGCTCAGCAACGCTACGTCTAGCGACAAGCCGGCAGATGCGAGGGAGCTGCTGCAGGTCCTTGCAAACTCAGGGGCCTGCAAGGAGACGCTGTCCTGGCTGAAGCGACAGTTGCTGCGAGGAGAGGTCATGCTGGTTTCGCGCAGGTGAGCCATAGAAATTATGCCGAGTGAGCCATAGAAATGATGCCCAGTGGGCTCCGTATCTTGGGGCCTCAGGGCTCTGCGCCATGAGAATGGTTTAGTTTGGCGGAAACATGTGCACCTAAGGTGGGCGGGAATACTGGACAAGCTTGCAGTTTGAGTGCGTGCGCGGGAGGGAGACGCGACACTTTATACTGTTGCAGTTACTGTAGTAATGTAGTGGTGTAGTAGTGGTATAGTTGGGCTGCAACTGTACTCTGAATCAAAGAAGGAACAGCAACAGCGATGTTCCCCAAGTGATGGCGAGGTGATGATTTGACGATTTCACAGTTGTCGCCATGGGCTGGCCCTGCCGTTCCTGCCTGGCTTCAAGCGCCCAGCGGCGCAGCCCGATTGAAGTTTATCGTTGCATTTCTGGTAAACGCGAAGCAATTGGCGGTATGCCTGAGAAATTGTGGCTTCTGCTCAGGTGGATTGAAGACTGCATTTCTGGAGAGGGCAGCCTGGACGCCAGGAGCTGCAGGATTCCTTCAGACGGCTACCGCGCTGTGTTTGCCCCAGCTGACGTGGGAGATTGGCCCTGGAGTGATTTCGGCGTCGTTGAAGCACTTCCCGTCCCCGGCAAAGCCGTTGGAGGTGCTGTCGCTCAGACAGCCGACCGCAAGGGACGAGGACGGCGAAGGGGGAGGTCCAAAGCCGCTCGCCAAGTTGTGAGGAGAAGAACGGCAGGTGGGCCATAGCCCTGCCCCGCTGCGCTTCTTCATGTGTTTCTTTGTTTCTTTTTTTGCTTACAATTTTGCTATTTGTTTTTTGTCTTTGTTTGTTTTTTGTTCCATTTCTTCATCGCACAGGCTGCAGTGATGGGGCGCGCTTTCCAGGGCTTTGACGTCCATGAAACAACGTTGCCAAGAAACGCCAGTGCTCAGGCGCCCGCAAGGCGTTGATCCTTGCACCACAAGCAAGCCGCCAAAATGGAGTTTTGCTCTGAAAAGTGCTGAATTGTTGCGCTGACGTTGCCTGAATGCGAACAGGCGTGCGGACAAGGGGCCGAGCAAGGCGGGGTGGGATTACAACGATTGAGGAGGGCGGCGATGCAGAGCACGGCTTCAGTGGCGAGCCCAGCGGCGGTGGCAATGAAGGGGCGCATGAAGGGACTTCTGATCAGTGTGCGCCTGCCATGCATGAAGAGGCGAACTCCCAGCCATCAGACAGCAGCGGCCCGACAAGGGCGAACAGCGATGGGAGGGGCCTGCGCGCAGAATGCCCAGGGAGACTGAGGAGGCGCACGCACAAGCCAGATGCCGACGAAATGGAGTCCCATGCAGCTGGCGGCAGCATTGAGGACTTTGAAACGTCAGACGACAAGAATCCCAGCGACCCCGATTTCAGTCCATCGTTGGAGGACACGCCAGTGGGTAGCAAGCGCAAGCGCCGAACGTCCTCAAGGGTGATCGACGAGACCGAAGAGGAGGATTCCGAGGACTCAGGGTTGCCAGCTCAGCAGCGCCCACCTGGTGCGATGGCAAGTTTGCTTGAGGAGAGCACCCAGCCACTGCCATGGGAACCCCGCCAGGACACGCACAGCACAGCTACTGCCAGCCGATCTGCTGCACCGCGAAGTGGCATCAGTGCTGCGCTGGATGCAGTCACGGACAGCGATGCATCCCCAGGACCAGGCTCACCTCACGAAGCGCCCACCATTGACGGTACACATAAAGGGTCTCAGCCCACTGGTTCTGCAACAGGTGCTCTATCTTCAGATCATCAGCAGATTTTTGGTGGCCGTGAGCCACAAACGAAGACAGGCGAACAGGAGGAGGGTGGCTCTGGATACCAACGGCTCACTGCTCTTCTAGCACAGCATGGGCCCTTGCTTGTTCCCAGCAGGGACTCAGGGACCAGGCATGGAGACCCCACAGTGCCAACCAAGTCCACGGCAGCTCCTATGGAGGTCAAAGCTGAGGAACACACTGTTTGTGACTTGGGGGCCACAAAGGGCAATGAGGAAAAGGAATCCCAAAAGAACAACAAAAAAACTAGTTTGTTTGGAGAAAGAGTAAGAGCACTGCTTGGTGACACATAAGGTGGCATCCATGTGAAGAAAACTAGACCTAGCCACACACCAAAGG